CCCCCCCAAAAAAAAAAATTGAGTGGAAAGTTAACTTCAAGCTATAAGTTTTGAAAGCAGTTAGATACCTGTTTATTTCTTGGTATGTAAAATCATTGAACAGGAAGGAACCCATATGCCATACAGGTAAATGTACCAACACTACCTAAAACATTGGTTTTATCAAGGAATCGAAGTTGGTCAGCTCAAATGTTGCTAAAAGCATACTTTGCATGCCTTTCTCTATGATATATTTTCAATTTAAATCTATATCTAAACAGATTACATTCACAGTTACTAGTAAATTTGATTTTGGTGCCAATTCATTTAAGGATGTTGTCTCACAAAGTTTGAACTCTCTTTAACTCTCACAGTACTTTAATGTTACACCTCTCAAAAAAAGATAAATAACAAATAATAAAAGTCAAATGGTTTCACATTAGCTAAAATCTTGATATTGATTTGTTTTCCTCACCATTTTTATGATGTTTAAAAAATGTGTATGCTTTAGTTGTATTTGACTCAAAAGTTGGAACAATTTAATAAAAAAAAAAACACAATTCCTTGACCTTAGTCATATGTGGTATGAGTATTCAAGGGGAAAATAGCAAAAAAAACCAACACCTCTTTTCTCTGAAGTTTTCAAAAAGATGAACTATATTTGTTTAAAATGAACAACCATTAAATATGTTATTGGGACAAAGTGTAATACTTTCAGACCTGTCGATGCATTCTTTTCATTAAATGCATTGTATATCAAAACATTGAGATGTAAAAGAAAAACATTACCTTTATTGCTACTTAACTTAGTAAAGTTTAATCACTTCTTCCAATATATATCTTAAATATTATGGGAAATCATCCTGCACTTTCTTCCCTTACAAATTTTCTTTATATTGATAGCCTCAATATGGCTCAACAATTAATAGGGCCATTTGGCCTGTACATCTTCATGGCAATCAAGTTTATTAAAGCTTTTTGGCCCTCTTTTGAATCATCACCACCTAATGATACTTCTTAAAAATTATGGTGGATTACAAAGCAACAGTTGCCAAAAGCAACCTAGCCAAATTAAACATCGCTCCGAGAGGTCGTCCCCCGAGTTTGCATATTTTTTTTATTATCACAACCGAAGGATGCTTCATATAAAATATGGTTTAAATCCATCACATAGTTCTAGAGGAGAAGTTTTTTTGCATCAGTTAGGAGGAAGTCATTTGTAAAAAGCGTTTAAAGACAGAAGACAGCAGCAGCAGTTACATATTAGACAACTTTGGTCATTGGGAAATGAGAGTTGAAAAAGGGCACAACAACCTAATTTTATAAGGCATTTCTTGCCGTGTATTTTTTTGTTTTTTGTTTACACACATTGTCTAAATACTGATCATAAAAAAAGTTACTTTACAAGTTGAAATACTTTGAAAATGATGAGCAAACATTCTTAAATGAAATTACATACCTCTATTTCCATTAGCTGTGAGGAGTCTGTATCTGAACTATCAGAGCTTTCTTTTGGTGATGCAAAAACAACCCTTCTTTTCTTAACTGCAGAATCAATACAGTCATGTTTCAATATACTTCTCTGTGGAGTTTTCATGGTAAAGGTCCCTTGTGGGGTTTTGGGGGTAGGTTTTGGCGTTCTCTGAGCAGAGACAGGTGTGTATGCTGTCTCTGTCAGTCGAGGAGTTGTGGTTTTAGGTGTGGCTGCAGTGTAAGCTTGAGGAGTGCTTGTTCTATAACCATTAACAGTTCCTTGTCTTCCATGTTGTGGAGTCTGAAATAAACTGAAGATTAAGTACCAAGAAGAACAGCCATAATGATTTGGTGATACACTATATAAATATATAACAATGGTGTATATATAGAAAATTGGATTTGTGAAAGAATGGTTATTGCATGAGGTCATACACACAGAATATGACAAGATTTTGACAGTAACCGTAATTACATGTCATAATATATCTATAAGAATTTATTCGGTGGCAATTTTGGTTTTCCATTTCTTTTAATCATTGAAATGAGGTTTGTTTGACAAAATAATATAAGGGGAAGGGAGCTCTTGTTTGTCTGCTTGGAATCACTGTACAATGTGAACAGTAGTTTAAGTAGCTGTAGACTCATATTAACAAGTTAAGTGCCTATTGTAAATTTGTATATCAGGAAGTCCTTAAAATTGTTGCAACTATAGCTGAATGAATAGAAATATCAAATTTTTATTCCAAATATCCATCAGTATATGGTGCAAACCTTCCAAGAATACTTTCTAAATTATCAATATAATTAAGTGTTGGTTCTAGTTTTTTGGCATTTTGAGAAGCACAGTTTTTTGTATTTTCTTTTCACATGAATGGAGAATATAAATGTTCAAACAATTTCTTAGTTCCTTTAGCTTATAATTAGCTAACATGTAAACTGCCTTTACATCAGGCAAGTTATTAGAATTGTAAAATACTGAGAAGTATCTCAGGTAATGATAACAAATTAACTTCCTGTTTAAAAAATAAAGAGTGTACTGTCAATTATATTTCATCATAACATATCTGATTCTCTTCAAAACAAATTTTGTTACCATATGAACAAAAATATTCAAACCTGTGGTACTTGAGGGGTTTGTTCCTTTCTGGATTTAGGACTTGGTGCTACCTTTTCCTTTACTGGATCAGTCTGTGTTGTAGAGGTTTTGAGGACCTTTTTCTGACTAGCAACCAGATCTGCAAGCTCTGAAATCTTCTCTTCCTGTCAATATACCGAAGACATTAAAACTGCAATTAATTAGACTATTTTAATAATAAGTATCTCCCTTTCTTTATGATGTCACAATATACATTGTCCTTATTATAAATGATGTCAGAAGTTGTATTTATGTGTAAATGTCGGAAGATTAATAATGACAGCGCTAGTGCTTTTCAGATCTACATGTATTTGATTTTTTTTTTATATATCCACAGCTGGACCATGAGAATGTGATACATTTTGGAGAGCAGTATTATTTGACGGGGAGGGAATAGAAACAGTTGATAGAAAGTCAAGTGGATTATCCACATATAAACAGCATAACAAACAAAACCAGACAACTAACTTGAATACATCTAATAATTACAAGCAATACAATTTCATTGTAATCACAAATTCACATACTTATTATTGAAGCATTAAACTACATTCTATTGAGAGTTATACTTCAATAATTTTGATCAGGGCTCCACACAAATTTGACAAATACTTAATTTAAAATTAGTATGTTATGATTTTAATCATATTCAGAATTATTAAGGAATTTATGACTTTAAATAGAATGCAGTTTTAATACTGATAATTTTCATTGATTTTGGCAATAAATTTTGTTCATGTCCTTCATATTTAAGGTAGATTTTCAATTACTGGCGTTTTAGGTATGTCTATATATACAGTGGCAATGCAAAGCAAGCGTTAACATAGCTATATCAATCAAACCTTTCTTGATATGGTTTCTTCAAGACCTGTCAGGTTGTTGAAGTAATCCTTACATCTTTCTTCAAGTGATTTCTGTAAAGAAATAAAAGAATGTCTATAAGAAATATTTATATGATGTTTATATTAAGGTAAACATGAAGGTCATCACACCTTGCTATCTTTTAATATATTGATATATGGTAAATAATATGACTTGTATCAGTCATGTTTCAAGTTCAATAATTACATCATGTGTCTATTAAATAATTTTACACAATTCTTAAGTGTGCAATTTTGATAATAAAAACAATATATTGAAAAAGTTCTACGGTGAATTTCCCAATGGAAATGAACAAATTTTATAATTCTTATAGATTTGGAAAAGCCTTTGTAATGTTATACATAGAAAAAAATGATGTCAGAAAACCTTTTCCTCCTCAGAAGTTTCCATAAGCCTTTTTTGTTGCTCAATTTCCACATGCAAATCTTCCAATTTCTGCTCAATCTAAAACGACAAAACAAAGATTTGGAATGCCCTATTAAAAAATACATTTTAATGCCCTATTAAACAATACATTTTCTTTATTCTACAATTTCAATCCGAGTGTTTCACTCAAAAATAAAAAAATACTTTTGAATAATTCAATATCTCATAAAGTGAATGCTAAGATGTTGAGGTGTTGGTTTTATTGAGATTACTCAAACTGAGAGGTAGAAAAACTTCACACATTATTGCATTATCTGTACCTCTGTTCGGGAATTATTTCCAGCCTTTTCTACTGTGTGAATCTTTGCTTTAAGTGTTTTTATTTCTTTGTCTTTCTGTGCTACAAGTTTGTGATTTTCCTGTTGATATTTCTCCAACGTGCTGGTCATATCGGCTATCTGTGCCTCACATTTCTTGACAGTTTCCTCCTTTTCTTTCACTGCATTCTCACTCAATATTTGCATATCTTTTGACTAGAAATAAAATGAAAGGGTAACATATTGACATCATTCTCATACTGGTATGTTCAATACTTTCAGTAAGATGCAAAATAAGTGTTAATAGGCATATTTGGCATATTTTCTAATGCAAAAATGAAACTATCTATAGAATGTTAAATTTTCAAGCAGGAAAATAAAAAAAATAAAAATTAAGAAAATAGGAAAAATTACACGTTTAGATGAACAGGGCAAGCAGTATAAATTTTATCACTAAACATGGCACATGCATGTACCAAGTGTTCCTAACTTTACAAACCTGTTTTTTAGCTGCTTCAGCATTCTGTTTCTCTGAGCATGCTTCTGACATCAGACTATCTATTTGTTCTTGAAGTTCTGACTTCTTTTTATCAGCTTCTTCAAGGGCTGAATCAAGTTTAAAAATCTCCTTTTCCTTATTATCTGTGAGCTTATTCTGGGATGTTAACTTACTTTTGAGGCTTCTTACCTAAAAACTCATTAAGAATAAAACGAATGATTTAATCAATTTCCTACATTTTCATCTCTGCAAATGGTAAACAAATTTATAGTGTTAATCTAGTAGCATTGTTATTTTTATCAAATTCATGGTGTAAATGTGATTCTATAAAATATAAACCATTCAAATTGTTTTGACCTTTCTTTGCACATTTCCTCTCCCCAGGACCATGCAACACTTTTGGACACCAGTACCAATTTCAAATGTCATATAAAAGTTTTTTTTTTAAATCAACCTAAAAGGTAAATAGTGTGTATTTGAATATGTTCCTCCAAAATCACATTTTGATACTGAACTATATATATATATATATAGAGTAAACAAATTCATAAAAACTTAGTTTGCACTCTTTCATTATCCCAAAACTAGGCTCAACATTTCTTCTTTTGATTGATTGTTATGATCAAAATATATCCAATATCTATAAAGAAAAAAAGAAAAAGGTGAAAAGTTGATAAATACAACCTATCACAGATGTCATAATTATATATTTGTTTCCCTATAATTTTATCTGAAGAATACATCCTATATGCAAAGCCAATAAACATTACAAATATATTTAAAAAGTAAACTGTTGTGATTGATAATGATGGTAGACCGACACTAGATGCTGTACCAAAGCAAAAATAAATCATATAAAAACAAAGCATTTCAGGTGCATTTCAGTTCAATTACCTCCTTTTCAACTTCTTTGATTTGTTTTGTTTTAGAGGACACACTTTCTTTAAGTGTTTTGATTTTTTCCTCAAGTGCAGATGCCTCTTTTGTTTTTGTCTCTATTTCGCCATTCATATTCTTATCCTGAAATGAAGAAAAAATGATTGCCTCTAGCATCAAACTATTAAAGAATTTAAAGAAAGAGAGGATGTCATAGTGAGTGAAAGTATATATTTTGTGAAATATTAAAAAAAATAATATAAAATGAATAAATAAGAAAACATTTAAAGTCAAAATGTACATCTACCAGGTACTTACAGTTTGTATCACAAATATTATATATAAATAAAAAAGAAGACTTTTAATAGAACAGAAACTTATGCCATGGCCAAATAATACCCCACATATTTCTTACCACTATGATCAACCATTGCTTCTTGTATAACAGTGACTCTCAGGACCCCCTTTTTCGCATTACATATGGTAAAATACTTAAGTATGAAGACAATAATTGTGAACTTATAGATATTTCAGTTTTTCTAAAAAATATAGCTCAATTTATTTTTTCTCATAGATTTCAAGATTTTTGCTGTATTGGATTTCAGATCATCATGAAAATAACCTTAATAGTTGGTCAGGACCACGAAGTGATCTTAACTTATCATAGTACATTTATGAAAATTCTAAAATTTCAAAACTCAAAATAAAGTTACCTGCTCATCTCTTTCTCCCATTAATTCTTCATTCTCCTTGATCTTGTTTTCCATTTCTTCTGTTAAATCAGCAATCTTTTCCCTGCCACCAATTGGAAATCATACCGAAGTTAAATGCTTGAACTCTATATCTAGTACAAGAAATATACTGTTTACCACCAAAAAAAAAGAAGAGAAAAAAAGAAAAATATATAATTTTCCAATTTTTAAAATTTTGCATTAGTTGAAGAAATGCCATTACCAATGACTCATCGAATATCTGGTAACAAAACAAAATCATGGACTTTTTTCCTAATGATCATGGAGAAGAGCAAGAGCTTATAACATTTTGCTAATTGAGGGGAATTCCTTCAGATCAGATGAGTTTGATCATTTATAGTTTAAAAAAACATAGATTTTATAATAACTCCAGGACAAATAACATTTTATTTGAATATATTGTCATGTTCAAACTATTAAGACATTTTAACAAGATAAAAGAAATCAAGAAAAGCTTCTTCTGAACTGTATTATGCATCAAAATATATGATCCTGGGATGACCAAATTTAGGCGGAGAGTGTGAATTAATCTGAAAGTAAGACATTGTTTAGTGCTGACTCTAACAATTACAGAAATAAATTTGTGATTAATTACATGATAGAACATGTCATTATCATTATGGTTTTACATTTGTTTTGAGACAAATCAGCATATAAACTTAAGGAACTAATCTTCCTGTATGTATTCCATCTTTGTGTATTGCAGAGTTATCTTCTCTTGTGAGCAGGTATTGATTGACCATTACGTCATTGGTTTGTGTGAGAAAATTACGTAATTTTCTTAAAATTTGATGACGTTGCTCTCACAAACAAATGACGTAACAATCAATACCTGCTCATAAGAGAAGATAACTCTGCAATACGCAAAGACGGAATAATGTCACAAGAAAGGAAAGCATTCTCGATGTTAACATCACACTATCTGCATAAAATATCTGCATTACAAAAAATATGACAGTACTACCATGAAATCTAACCTTAAATTTTATAATTAATTTTCTAAAATTAAACCATTTGAATTACAGTGACCATTCATTTACTCTAAAATATTAACAGTGAGTTTGGAAGACTGAAATCTGGATAATCAGAGGTAGACTGAAATAGCATTGTTTCAGGAGGGGGGATTTACAAGGCACACTGCAAAGCAGACATGAGTCATTACACATTAAAATCTGCCTCTAATGTTATTTAAAAAAAATAGCACTATCATACAATTACAAACTTATGCATTTTTCAAAATGTGTAATAACAAAATGTACAGGCACTTTTGTTTTGCCTTACGATCTTCTTCCACTATCAACTCCTCCCTCCTCAATCCATTGCCCAGGTTGGGTGGCAAAGAGGGTGTCAATCTTTTAATACAAGTGTCTATAGATATAATAATACCACATTAAATTAACTAGTCATTGATAATCTGCATAACAATGTTCACAAATGTTTTGGCTTCTTAAATGCTAAACTTCAGATGACCATTTCAAAATAAGTTGTTCCAGATTTTGTTCAGTTAACCTTTAGTGTTTTGGCTGATGATGTTCCATAGTAACATAAATGAAAAACCAAACGGAGTCCATCAATTGGAAGACAAAACATAACAAAAGTAGTAATGAATCCATAATCAAAACTGGAAATAAGAAACTCATGCAAGAAAACTTTCCATGCATAATAGTTAGCAAAATTTAAATAGTAAAATGGCTCTTACTCAAATCTCTCTATCATTTGATTTGCAGATTCTAATGAGTCTTGCAGCTTTTTCTCATTTTTGTTCAATTTCTGTTCATCAATAAATTCAGCCATATTTCAAAATGCAATTATCACAAATCAAATATAATTTGGTACAAGACAGTAGGAACTATTCTATCATATTCCAATTGTTAATTTTCCGTATAATTATAGATTTTCAACATATTAAAACATGTCAAGTCTGGGGCTAGGAACTATCATTATGGTCACCGGTAATAGCTACACATAAATTGTAAGTTTTATTGATTTAAGGTATTGTGTCTGCACAACAAACATGCATACAGATATGGTGATATGAAGACAGTGTTCACAGATGATAGAACCACTCATTATCAAAGGCTTCTTGTTCAAATTGACACCTAACTGAAACTGCAAAGCATGACATTCTTCCCAGTATACATACAGCATGTTTTGTGAGGATAATGTTGAAAAGATGTCAGGTATCAATTTAGCTGGAGCAAACATCAATTTGTCTACACTAATAAATAGCACATGATGTTCCAGTTTATATTCACTTAAAGCAATATTTCAACTATTACTGTTTATTGATTCAAAACTATATTGAAAGAGGTAACTTTAAATTGTATCTTATTTCACAACCAATATCAAAATGTGTTTTAATTTACTCAATGAAAATGGTTCAGTTTATTGTTATCTTAAATAAGTTCACATCATATTGCATGCCTGAATTTCTGTTTGCAAACTCTTGGTATCAGCTACAATTGATGTCAGTTCATCCTCAGTGTCTACCATCTGACTTTGCATCTTGCATAGTTTTGAAGATGTTGCCTCATGATTTGTCCTACAAGATACAAATTAAAAAACATAAAAATACAATAGGCCCATGAGCCTTAGTGGTCACCAAATAGTGTAAATTTAACCCAAATGCAGGTGCTTTCAACATCAAATATAAAAACTCAAGGTCTAGGACCCGATCAGGAGTAAAAAGGTAGGGTCACCTGTCGAACCACATGAGTTAAACATTTTCTCTGCATACTGTGGTGTCCTCCCACATTAAGACCCCTGCATGCTTTCATTTAGGCCAACAAGAGTATAATATAAGTTGAAAAAGCTTGTTTCATAATTGTTGTAAAATAAATGAAGTTTACATTTATATAAAAATATCTCAAATCTAAGTATGTACATTAAAATATTCTATAATGTTATATCTTGCACAAGTGTTATGAGGCTGCAGGTTTTAATTTCAATTCCTTTTAAATGAGGAAAACTAGTAAGCTTTCCATGACTTATAAGTGTGAGTTAATTAAATGACATTTGAACTAATTTGGCTTGTTTTACCTTTCCTCTGTCAATGAATCTGTCAACGCTTGCAAATCTTTGGATAAAGACTGCACAGCTTCGCACTTAGTTTGTAATGATTTTTGGGACTCTTCATATCTTTTCTGCAGAAAAAAGGCAATTTGAGTTAGTATGACATTAAAATATGATACACGTAGTTATAATACACTATGGTATACCAAACTCTTGGTTTGCATTTTTAAGCACATATATTGCCAATTAACTTCATCCCATATTCATTATCCAAATTCTTGATAGCTATATTATATATATACAAATCGTCATGTTAACTGAGAGTAACTAACATACATGAATTTATCACAAGAACAAACCATGTAATTTTTTATCTCTTGCTGTGCGGACATCAAATTTTCTTCCAGAGCCATTTTATCTGTGGCAAGACTTTTTATTTCACTGTCCAGCTTGTTTATGGTCATCTGGAAACAAATATAGTACAAAACATTACCGTTTAGTGTAATTCTTGTGATTGATTCATGGCATACATGTAAAAATGCTATTACTATGGCTATAATTTGAATACTGTATACGTTATGTGCAAAGTCATACTTCATGACAGTTATTTTTGCGATTTATACGTTAAAGTGATTCAATGAATTTGACATACATTACAGTGATTCTTTTCATTAAATAACAGCAATAAGAAACTACACAAAAAGAAATTGCTGTAGTTTGTCATTAACTTGAAATAGGGTCAAATATGCCATGTCTTTTTGAACTTGAAATAGGGTCAAATATGCCATGTCATTTTGAACTTATAGAACTGTTTGATTAATAATTTTTGACATTAGACATGCTCCAGCAAAAACTCTATCTTTTTCATTTGACCTATAAATGCTTTAGTCTGTAAGAATTCTTTCTTTAAGTCTACCTCCTGGGTCATAATTTCATCTTTGCTGCCTACTAAGTCGATGGTCAGACTGGATACTGATGCCTCCAGTTCGTGGATCTTACTTTCTTCAGTCTTCATCTTTGCCAGTAAGATGACCTGGATTTGATTAAAAAGGCACACAGAATTTCATTTTTTAACAATAAATGAAGGTAATTATAAAAAAAAGTGAGTTCAAAAAAAGACAGGTAGACCAATGTCTATGATGGTGGAGGCTTCACTAAATTTGAATATTTAGCCCTTCATCAAGTCTGATTTCCAAATAAAGTTTCTTTTATCGTGAAAATTAATAATACAATGTATATTATAACCTTTTTAAATTTTGGACAGAACATTTAAACATCCTTTAGTAATGTAATGGGACCAACCTTTTCCCCATCAAGTGCAGAAATCCTAACTTCAAATTCGCTCTTTTCCATTATTAACATATCTGTTTAAATAGAAAAAGGTGTGTTAATTGATATTGCATTCAATCAAAATTTTGATAATAAATTGCAAAGTACACCTATCTACATGAAATGTTTATATTCAAACTTTATGATGATGACAACATTTTTTTCTGTGTAATTTATTCTGACTGATTCTTAACTTCCAGATCAACTAAGTATTTACAACATTTGAATATTTCAGTCTGTGCACGTTTTCTTCCCCAACAGTACAACCTGCAATGCTAGTTTAAAGTTGAGACTCATCGAAGAAAATTGAGGTTACCTTTAGAACTTTTCAATTCTTCGACAGAACTCTCCATCCTTGCAAGCTCTTCTTTGAGAATTTGAATTCTGTAATATTGAGTCTTCTCATGAAAATATTTTTTACGTCTATAAACGTTAACAGTTTTGATACATAATATTTAGGATCACTTCAAAAGAAACTATAAATGTAAGCCTCCAGCTACAATGTAACAGATACCCTTTCAATTCCACTTGGTAATGCCTAGGAGTCTGGACAATACGTTATCATGCATTATTGGTACAGCAGATAAAGTTCCTGTTTCTTGTATGTAAAGATGGTGTGTGGCCTAACAATTTTACAGCCAAATGTAAGTCTTTAATTTGGATTGTTGCAGCATTCAAACCAAAATAAGCATCATAATATATAAATTGCATGTGTGAGTTGATGAGAAGTATTTTTCATCAACATGAAATGATCATATTTGAACTGTATCACATGTTGACAGATTTCAGACCATATTTTTTTTTCTCAATTTTTTTTTTTTTAATGTTTTCTGAAACACGCTTACATTTTTTTGTAACCAATTTTACAACAAATTTTATAAATTTTTCATAAATGACAAAATGTTCATAAAGATTTATCGAAGCTACATGTATAGTCGTGCTGAAAGAAACGTTTCCTATGCATAGTTATAATCTCTGGTAGTAGAGAAGGGCTCCTTAATTAAATAAGTTACCTGTAATATTTGTTTTAAACAAGTATACATGTACCTGTCTTGCTTTTGTGATACCATCTTCAGTGTCTTTTCTACGTATGATGCCAAAAGATCAATGTCAAGACAGTCCATATTATGTTCTTCCCGAAACTCATCTTCAGGAAGATGGCTCCTAAAAGTTTCATTCAGTTCAGCTATTCTGTGTTCAAGCCGTGTACAATGCCCCTGAAGCAGAGGATGATGATAGATTGATTAGGTTTTACATGTTCACAACAACTAATACAGGGTTATATTACAATATTTCCCACAGATGGTGGGGCATGCATGGAACCTTTTTAAGTGCCATCACACTTTAATGTTATACCTGATAAATACTAGGGTATATGCCTTTTAGAAGCCTATAGGGCTTAAAACGCTGCTAAATTGACGTAATTGACATGATTAACTTGGACCAGGAATTTTGAAGCACACATAATTTGTTAACCAGAAAAATATATAATGCATCAAGTTTCATTTTCAAAAATCCAAGATAGTTATATGCATATATTTGAAGCAGTACCATATGTAATGTGAATTTACAATAATCCATATGCAGACTCTGGACTCACATGTAGACTTTCAAACCTAGCATAAGATCTGATCAGTGCCACATCACAGTAAGTAGCATATATTTCAACACTTATCATAATAGATACACTATGTACCACTTCAAAGAGTACATGGTCAAGGAACAACAAGGTATAAGTATTAATTGCAACAAACAACAATTATACTAGAGCTTGGAGTTTTGAACAATTGTATCAGTTTTATGTTATTTTATTACCTTGGAAACGAACGTCTTGCTTACAACATCAACATATTTATTCATTGACATAATTTCCTTGGATGAACATTACCTGTCAGGTATTTTATTAATTATTCCATCACATATTGAACGACTCATACATCAGGGATCCATGCTTCAAAATGATGATGTTATCACCACGTGTCTACTCTTGGAAACCAAGATTGCACATAGTAGCATATTTAAAGTTAACCAAAACAATTGAATCAAATTTGGTGTAAGCAAAATGCAAATCCAAACTATGTTACCAAGTAACATGGCCCCATACTATAATTATTGTCATTTAATGAAAAAATGCATGAAAATCTTAAAATAATATTATAAAATAAAAAATAATATGAGCAAGGTTACCGCGAGCGGTATATAATACGCCCGTCACACATTGAATGAGCAGTTGTTTGTATGATTGAAATATATGAAGTATTTGTGAGTAATTGATATTAAAAGAGAAATCATTCAACATAACTGGTAGATCAATGAGTGCAATACAACATCATGGAACGCATGCATCGCATTAATGAAACCAAGGGTAATAACTCCAGTAATTACGGTCGGATAATGGCGGTTATCAAACTTGTCCGTGGTTTCATGGTAATTAACCTTGTTGTGAAGTTTGAAGTTAATCTGTTAATAATTACTCGAGATATCGAGCAGACATCGTTCGCATGCCCGCCCGCCCGCTCACATGATAACATAATACGTCCCCGTCTTCGACGGGCGTATAAAAATATATTTAAAGTAAATTACTCAGCAATTAATTAACTGATCATCTACCTTTATCTTGGTCAGCTGGCATGTTGTTTCCTGAAGTTTATCTTTATGCTCACTAATGGACCCTTCAGACAACTGCAGCTTTTGTTGAAGATCATCTGTTCCAAATTAATGCAATAATGCTTAAATTGGTATGAAAAACAGTCAAACGTCTTTATTTGAAAGTGTGATAAATCAAATCACCCTCTAAATGAGGTCAAATTAAGTTTATGGTTGTTTCATTATACAGATTATAACTTTAATACCATCATCAATATCAACTTTTTCTAATGGAAATTATTTCAAATAACAGAAGCATCCTTACAAAGAGAACTATTATCTATATCTCATTAACTAAATCCTAAATTGGTTGTCCAAAAAAACCTGTCAGAAACTATATTTTGAATCAAATTTGGGTATAATACTCCAGTAGCAACTGTCGCAAAATTCAGTTTCAAAACTTTTTTCCCAGCATGCTGTTTGCTTTTATGTGACACTCAAGTCTTTCGGAGACCTTTATATGTGGAGGAATTTTAAATGGATTTCTTTGTGTAAAATTAGGCCACATTTGTGAAAAACAGTTGGATATTAAGATAATCATTTCTACTAGAAGCAGGGAAAAATTAAGAGTGACAGAATGTCAGCATCCCTAACCATGTATACACTACACTAAAGTATTTATCAAGTACAATTGTATTACAATTAAAAAGTTTAGTTTAAAGGCAGCAAAATCAAATGAATTCCAAAATCCAGTTCTCACACTTACCACAAGCATTTTTCATATCATACAGCTTGTCTTCATTTTTACAAAGGTGTGACCGGATGTCTCTTATCTCAATATCCTTATCATCACAGCTACTCAGAAGTTCTTTCAACTGAAAATGATGATGATGTGTTTTATTTCCAAATGCTTTTAAAGTTACCTGGTGAATACTATCAGTATATATCCAAGCTGTCACATTGAATTATTATAATGAGTACAATGAGAACATTAATTTTGATTGGATGGGAATACTGTATGCATATCCCAAATCATGCATAAATCGTTCATTTCCATTAGTCAGACACACGGAGCTAGTAGATTTTATGTTGGGGTTAGTGACAATTTTAATATCCTAATCCACTATGAAAATATAGGCTGGGCTAGTAGAACTTTTCAAAATCAACCTGCATGGACTAGTATTCTAAATAAAAAACTGTTCATCCCTGGTAAATGTTACATCATAATATTTGTAAATTCAATTCAACATTTCTACCATGTCAGATTATTTTCCCTATAGGCCATCTTTGAAATCTAAGTGTTCCACTTTTGAAACACTTATCTTCTCTTATGATATATCACTATTGGGCCAAACACATCCAGCCCCAGGGGTCACCCCTACTTCATTTATACAAAAATGTCCTGGATACAATATGTATTTCAAATAAAATATGGTTGTAGGGTGTGGATCTCTGGTGTACTAGTTAAGGAAAAGTAAAAGTGTAATTTCAAACAGAAATAAAATTTACTTTAAAATTAGGACTCACAGTCCTTCCCTCTGGCCCTAGCTGACTTTACCTGACTTTCTGCTGTGGTTATCTTTTCTTTCCATTCTTTTTCTTGCTCTTGTTTATTTTGAAGTTCAACTGTTACTGTAAGAATAATAAGAATTGTAGTTTAAATTAACGTAATATCTGTTTCCCTATGGTTGTAGTAGGATGTCTAGAATTCAAGTCCCGTACTGCTGCTGATGCCATATTATGGTATTAGTATGGCATCACCTTTTATCTAAACAAAACATGTTGTCAGTGTTCACATTGATGATATCACTTGCATTTAGAATATAAACTTGAATGTGCTTAAACAGATTGCTTTTCACTAAACATCAACCACTTCACTGGATTGCAAAGATTATGCACAATTGTGTTTGAAAATTTGATAACATCTTCAGCAGTAATATTTAATTAATAAAATACCTTAGCACCCTGTGGGTATATATACTGTTTCCATGTCATGACCAAGAAAGTAAATCCCCATGGGTAAATACAAAACCTAAGGACGAAACCTGGTATTATAAAAGTATTTGTCTCTTCATGCCTTGAATTTATATATATGGTTATGCAATTCGAATCTCAAACATTTCCATGTTACATCCAAGGAAATAAGTTCCAAGTCGCAAATCTGGACTCTGGGCCAGGCCATTCATGTTTAATAGCATGATTGGAATCATCTCTTTATATCTAGCAACTTTATATATGGCTACAGGGAGAAGATCTGAACTGTTTCAAAAATATGACCGAGGGACTGGAGCCTAGACCCAATGCTCGCAGCATTTTCATCTCTTCATGCCCAGCATTTATATACATGGTTATATATGGGGTTGGGAGCTCACATTTTTCCTGTTATGACTCAGGGACTCTGGGGGCTAATCCTGGTAGCAAGGCACATGTCCATTATGCATTTTATATGGCGGGGATCTTAGATGTTTTTAATGAGTACAATCGTTTCAAAATACCTCTTCTGGAGCTCTACCCCTCAAGTCTCATGAGTACCAACTCAAAGTAAACAAATATGATTGCCTTACCCTAGTGATGTTTTAGACCAATATTTCAATTCATATCTTGAGCCCCTTTCCCACCTTGGATTACAGTTGCTGATTTTTACTATCAAATTTGGTTAAATCCATCAAGACCACACCCTTGTTTTAAACAATGTTCGATAATCTGGTCCCCAGATGGCATCAGAGTGAATTTGCTTGCAATCTGATTAACTATTCAAGAGGAGTAAGGCTTTAGGAATAGATGGACGAATGATGACCGACAATGGATAACAGACATTGCACAATGGCAAAAACTCCATGGTAAATTTATATTTATTATTATTGTTATTCCTGTTATTCAAGTTTATATGGAATATAATGTAAATGAAGCCTACATATAGATATGTCTATGTTATTAAGGGTGGATGCTATTTGGAAATGTGCATATATATAGTCATATATAGTAGTACACATACATTGGTTAGTCAATTTGTTGTGATCCTCCTCTGCATTCAGCTGAAGCTGTCTGAATGATTTTGACAAGTCCTGTAAAAGATGAAAAAAAATATGATGTATAAGGTTCTGATACCAACTTTGAAACAATAATAGGACACAAATGGAAAATAAAAAGGCATCAATTTAAATATTCAAATATCTAACACTGCCAATTTAAGAGTTCAAATTTAATTCTCATTTGAATAAATGACAGTATATTGTTTTCTTTCCAAAATCCTCAAATCAATAATAAAACAGATTGATTTTTTTTAAATTTTCTCCCAAATGGATTGATTTTAAGAAAACCCTTTCAGAATTCCATAGTTCCACATGAAAAATATTTCCATTGCATTATAATATAGAACAATTGATTTTGACACATTTGCAGAAAAAAATGCATTTGCCATTTCAAGCTGATGTTAATCTTTCACATACTTCCAAGACCACTCAATCATATCATGAAAAGATTTAAACCTGAATAAAGTTAACTTTAATCATAAAAAAATCATTTTCAATTGACAACAGTTTACCTCAAACTGTTTCAGATGTTCTTTTTCCTGATATTTCAATTCAGTTCTCTCTGTTTCACCTGAAATTAAAAACAATTTCACTTGAATATTAAACCACTGACATAACGCATGTACATCATGAAACAATTATTTACATTTTATTCTCTCACATTTCATAACATGTTTCTATCAGAAAATCAATAGAAAAACAATTGCAGCTGGTCACTAGCATTTTTCGAACCTTGTTGCGGAATAAGATATTGACAAAAATACTTTTTCTGTATTTTCCTTCATTATAATTCAACGAGTATACATTATATTTGAAAATACAAATAGTAATGAAAGTTTTATTCACATGTCAGCAATCTATCTTCGGTTTTTGCACTGTGATCTTTCAGCAAATTGCAGATGTCTCTTGTTGAAGTTATTCTGTAATGAAAGCAAAATTTAAAATGCAAACATCAAAATACTACTGAATCTACTACAACTAGCTGTAACTCGGGAAATAATAACATCATCCTTTGAAAATTGGCATTCTGATGAAACAGACCCAACACAAGCATACATGTCAATTATTCCTCTCCGAGAGAAATTGTACCCTTGAATCCCTTAAATTACCCGTATAGCCCCTAGCCCTTAGACATTGGTTGAGTAAACCAAATAACTAAACTAACTAGAACACTGACAGATCAGCAATGGCCCTGTCATGTGCCTGACCGTAACCCCATGGTCTATTTCTAGTAACAGTGACCTTGAATTTGACTTTAACCTAAGAAACTTTTCAAACACCTATTGCATATCTACATATCATAGTTTATCATCATGTCAAATTTCAAAAAGAGCAGTCTATTGGATTTCGAATAAGGAACCGGTTTTTAGTAACAGTGACCTTGACTTCAGACATTTTTAAACCTCTATTGCACATAAACATATATCATAGTGAATCAACAGGTCAAATTTCAGAAAGATAAGATGGAGACAGAGATAATCTCTGGAAACGAAAGTATGGACTGACAGACAGACACTGTGATTACTATGGGACATCTCTGATGCAGGGCCCTAATGAGTGTCACTGGTCAGCTGGGTACTATAACATAAGAGGCCACTGTTGTTGTTTTTTTATATCATATATGATTGTTACAGGGCACTTGTCGAAAGTATGTACACAGTGTTAAACCTCTAACATTGTTGGGTACTTTAGTGGTTGTACATTGGGAATTCAGCAGTTTATGGTGTGAATAATCTTTTCAAAATTATATAGGATAATAATTTAATTAATAAACCAATGTTTCAACAGCACAGGAAACTGAAAAAGTTTCACTTGCTTTTATTCCTTTCTGGGAGTTTTCTCAAAGGGACCACAGACTTCGATAGCTAGTTTTGTGAAAGCTAGGACAATTCCCTCTCAGAAGGGTCCAGAGGTTAATATGTATGCATAATAAACCAGATATATATATTTAGCTTGTGTGACAAGTAACTAGTCTGTACCTCTGCAGAAGCTCCTCCCTATTTTCAATTTCTTCTTGGAGTTTCAAACTAAGATTTTCATTTTGCAGCTGAAAAAATAGATGAAAAAATATTTATTTTGGAAACATGAACTTCATTTTTTTTTTTTTTTAATTTGAACCATTATAAGTCTATAGCACTAGTACTATCAATTTAATTCTGGCTATTCCCTCAATTCTAGACCTTTTAAGGTTATATAGTATGTATAACCTTAAAAAAACAGACAACAGATATCAAACATTCACCTATTATGAACTTAAGTGTTACCCGTCTCTTTAAATCATAATGGATAACCATGGTTATTTTTGGGGTTAAACTGTAATGTTTGTACAATAAAACTGTCAGTAGAACTGACATATATGGTTCCTGAATAGGCTCCTGGTTTGGGAGCATATTATAATATAATTACATGTACATGCCAATGATGAAGTGTTGGGAAAAAAAACATTTTGATCGGATACATTTTTTAAGAAATGAACATATTACAGAAATTCATCAATTTTTAGCCAGCCTGACCTTAAATTGAATAGTACGTAAATTTAAAATCAACAGAGCTATTCCTCTTCTAAAGAGGCAATATTCATCTAAGTTTGGTTTAGATCTGATATATAAGATGTATAAGTTATACCATCCAGAAATCAACATTTTCAAAAACCTAGTACATGTACATGTATTCCACAACCAAGCAGCTGGGATATTTGTCTTTCCAAGAAGCATCAGTCATCCAAGTTTGGTTTACATGCAGCTTGTGTATCATTCAGGAGAAAGCATTTGAAAACCAACACTTTTCCAAACTTTCAGTCTATTTTTACCTACTGTGACCTTTGGCCATTGAAAAAGTAACCCCAGACTCGATAGGGATTTCCCTCTTAAATTTCTGTGGCATCATCCATCCAGGTTAAGTTTACCAATGTGTCTGATGTAATCCTTCAAGAGATAGCATCCAGACCAACCTTTCCCCAAAACTTCAGTCTATTTACAGTCTTCAATCTTAATGACTTAATCATATTTTTTTTTAACTCAAATTTCTAAGTGGCATCATCCATTCAAGTTTAGTTTACCAATGTGTCTGATGTAATCCTTCAATAGATAGCATCCAGACCAACATTTTCCCAAAACTTCAGTCTATTTACAGTCACTCTGTCTTCCATCTTAATGACTTAATCATCATGAAAAATGACTCAAAAATCAGAAGTCTTCTTCCCGTTCTCTTGGGACATCATTCTCCTGAATTTGGTTTACCGGTACATAGGATTAAATTTGTTCTACAGTATTAATATGAACATAAGTAAAGTATTAAAGTAATTATCACAGAACCATATAAACCAAAAAATGACTATATGCTCCAAATATCATAAAAAAAAATAAACAAAATGTCAACAATACCTGTAGATCAAGGCTAGCCTTCCGCAGCATGTCAATGGTGCATGTTGCTTCATGTATGTTCTTTTCCTGAAAGTACAGTTAATCTTTGTTATATTTGCCTTCCATGTAAATGTTTCAAAATCTTTTCATTTCACATAAATTGCTATTGTCGGACAGTTGACTCCAGGCCTTTCTGTTCTTTAAAAGAATATGCTTGAACATTTTAATGAATTCAACACATTTGACCTTGCACAATGATATGGTGGAGGCAAATTTAGCATTTGAACTGAATTTGTAGCATCGCAGGCATATACCTCTAGGCTAATTGGTTATAAGGAGTTTTTTAAGCATTTTAATAAATCTGACCCCTGTGAAATTGAAGATAAGTCTAGGTCACTTTTTGCAAAATCTGTAGCACATACTCCAAGCTAGCAAGCTACTTGTCAAATATTATGACCTTTTACCCTATCTCTTAGGTAGTTAATCAAATGAAAAGTTGATGAGCCAATCCCATATTCAGCTTGAAAACTTGTTATGCCAGGTGTCAGAGCTAAAAATTACCTTCTGTTTTATTTCAATTTCTGTTTGAACTTTCCATTTCATGATTTTGTCAGCTTCCTGATGCAGTGCATGTAGAGTGTTTGTGTCTTGCTTGACAGCCTCATTTTCTGTAAAAAAATTAATTAAAAAATGTTATTTGAAGTGATGATATAGAAGAGGGTTTATAGAAAGTAACACTTGACCTACAGTCCTAGACAAACTTCAGAAAGAACTAGTGAAACACCTCTTTTAAAATTGTATTTCTTTGCACTTGTAAAAAGTTTGTTATCTATAACAATATCATTTGACTGATAGATTATTGAAAAAATAATCCTTGTTGGAAAAACATGGAAAAATACAGAAAAATTACATTTAAATTTCCTAGGTCTTTTTACTATAGTATGCTTGGGATGCTATCTTTTAACATGATAATATCTCAGATGAGTTGCAGTGACATAGGACTAGCCACTTATAGTTATTTTATATAAATATTTTACAAAATTAGGCACTTATTATAACCATATGTTTGCTTGGTAGTCCAGATGCTAAATTTGATTCAAATTATAAATATACTCCCGTAGACTAAAAGGAAAAATAGCAATTTAGTGTCTATCAATGTAAAATGCTGTGATGAATTCACTTCATGAGTCTTAACATTCATAATTTAACTCACATATTTATATGGATAATGGTACATAGTGTACTAAAGTATGCATGTAGTGTAAAATCTTACCTTTAGCACTAGATACTTGAAATGTTGATAGGTTTTGGAATGTTTTCTGCCTCATATGGCTTGATGGCTGAAAACACAAGAAGCACAAAATGGTAATTTTGGTAATGGTATACATAGTAAAAGTGATTTAGAACAAATGCCTTCACATCATTTGTTCATCAAGACAAAGAGCCCTGGAGGGCAGAATCTAATTACTAGAACCCTTTTGATGTGTCCAGTTTGGAGAATGAAAGTAATACTGTGAGTGAGTACAGAAGGGCTTAATGCTCAAGACAAAATTTAATTTGGATCAACATGAACAAAGGGCCTTAACTCTGTATATATAGGGGCACAAGACCTGACAGTACATGATCAATAATGTAAGATACATTAGTACATATATGGTTGATGAACTTAGGTGAAATACATACATGTAGTAAGAAGCATATGGTCCAAATTATCTTTGGTATCAGAATTAAACAAAGGGTCAAAACTCAACATTAAAACTTACAAGTCAAATCAACCATCCAAATTAAAGATACAGTGGCATTGCAACTTGCATGTTGAGTTAATGTAGGTGAAATAGTACGAAAACTTTATTATCGCTACAAACCTTGATATCTAAATGAAAAAAGAGTCATGTATAACAATTTATATAGTGGTCTGAGGCACATTAGACTCATTGATAGGAATATGTCATCTTCCAATGATAATTCATAAATATACATGTAGCAAGTTTAGTGGTCACTTACCGGTATGTGAAAATATCAGGTAGTAAGGAAATTTGGCTTTGTGGACAAACTTTTATATATATATATCAATTTAAAAGTAACCAAAGAGCCATAACTCTGTATTTCTAGTGGCATGGACCTCTAGCTGACTTGAGTATGTGACATGCAACACACTGCCATCTCGGAATGACCCCGATCAACTTGGTAACGGTGAAGTTCTCTATACCTTATATTTAATAGTATAATATATAGTTTGGTGAAAATAAGTAAGTCGTCCTCAGCTATTTCAGACGTGTATGGTGAAGTGAAGTCTGCTGCCACTGATCCAGAGACTACTTCGTTGGCATGAAAATTAATAAATTGAAAATATATCACATTGACAGATTGGAATTTTTTTCAAAATCTTTGATATCAACTTTGATTATTTGTCCACTGTGCATTCACTGGCACTACAAAAACTTTGAATTTTTTCTTGAGGAACAGATTTATAACTTATTCTATATTGATGATGCACATGCATAAGTGCACCAGATATAGTAGCTATCAAAGTATTTATAGTGAACACATCTTAATTAGGTAACTTAAACTAATTGTAGCTTCACTTGTGCCATTTTGTTGTTTACTTCTTACTTATCACTATTTCCTTAATGATATCAAAGATAACTACTTAAATGCTAAACTATCAATTCTTTTTACTGATCAATTCAACCATGACATGAATACCAAAGTGTGGTTGAAAGCTTAAAAGTATGATTCCACGAATTACATTGCATTCATATATATAATATCAAACTATTGGGTGACAAATGTGACCACATGCACACATACACATGCATTGCTCAGTAGATTTTGACTTACCGGTGTATTAGTGATTGGTTTGAAAAAGGGTTGTTGTTGCTTTTCTCGTGACTGCATCATCATTCAGCATTTACTGAAATTAAAAAATATATATCAAAAGTCAACTGCAGTCATCTCAGACAAACCAAACCTATACCTTCATTTTGATCATTTATAGTGTACCTATATATACCTTAAGTTTATACATGCAATCACAATGACTATCTATATATTTCAATCTGATGGGGAGGGGGTGTAAATATAACCAAAGATCCTGTCTTGGACACATATATATATACAATTGTATTGAATGCAAAACAATTGTTCCTGCAAGCTTACAGCTACAATTGTATGTCACCTTTTGATCTGGACATGGCCATTCTACCAGTTTTCATTTTTTGACTATTTCTATGATACATGTATATATCTAAACTGTATGAGTTCTTACACTATTCAACACTAAGACTTTTATAATTGCTGTGTTTTCCTTAATTGCAATTGTAACAAGAGGTTTTTTTCAATGCTACCCACAGGAAATATATATAAATGCAAAAGGAGAACAAAAATGCATGGCCAGACCAGCTAGGGTTCAAACCTGGGACCCTTTGAACTCTAGACGGATGTTCCACCAATTGAGGCACGCTAGTTGCCGACGGTCTACTTGGGATGGAATTTTAAAAAAAATGGTAGCTGGTCCAAAAGGCCAGTTAAATAAAATCCACTGGTCCTGTTTGAAAGTGCACTGGTCCAGACAATGAGCAATGCAGGCCCAAGCGGGCGCCAAAGGTACTTGATATTCTTCTGACCTAGCACTGGCTTAGGAAAATTCACTCTATTAATCAGAATCAGTTAGAACTTAGGAAGAGGCTACAGGTGTGTCAAACAAGGGGGGATGTGAAAGGACCGAAATTTGAACACAAAAAAAGTCGAGGGCGATGGGGGTGTCACATATTCCTAGTGAAAAGGGAGGGACATATAATCTCGCCACCTTAGAAACATATAGCATATTTTAATTTTTCATTTTAATTCTTTTCAAAACACATAGAAACACAGTTAGGAAATGGAATATATATATTCTACTGTATAATGCTTAGAAGACGGAAAAAACATTTGATATTCCTTCTGTACAGTAATGTTCTACAGAAATGAATTCATGAAAATCGTGATTTACTGATAATATTATGTCACGATTTCCTTGTTATTACGACAAGGCCTGTTTCTCTAACTAATTATAAGTTAGCCTTGTATTTGCTAGGCTACGTCACTGTACTAAGTGGTCAAACATGAACATCAGAGCATGCCACCAATGCAGAACAGTGTTTATTTCAGGTGTGGGCCGAGGTTTGGCTTTCTCGGTCTCTCATTAAACTACTTCCTATTAAAAAAGACCAACAAAACCTTTAAAACATATGAATATATGCGTAAAAATTAAATAATAAACAATAGAGCATCGAACGTATCTGAACGTAATCCCGTAAACCATGAAATAAAATTACCTCTGTCGTCTGCTCTTCCAAAACAAACGCACGTGTTTGAGGTCAAGGTCGATGTCGATTTCCGGAAATTTTATTAATGTCTTTATATATGCATAATGTTAATTTCTGTTTTCCTTGATGTACATGATTTAAAAACCTGATTATTGTACAATGATTAAAACTCACATTTTCTAGTTAAAATCAAATCCCAAAGTAATATTCAGTCGAGGCTTTTTTGCCATAAATCGATTGCAAAGATCCGGAAATTATATTTGGAACAAACTATAACCGGAAGTGCTGAGCTGTCCGAAGTTTCCCGCGAGTATATGGAAAGGAATGGCTCTTCAACCAAAACAAGAGTTGCAACTGGGTAAATAACGCCGTTTATCATTCCATCTGGGTGTCTGTGGTAACTTGATCACATTCCAATACTAACTAACACATGCTACTCTACAGGTCGTAAGTTACCATTGATCAGGGGGTTTCGATCAGGCCGTTTCGCTGTTCTGTGTAGTTAGCAATAGCAGTCGGTGAGAATATTGTTACAGTGCAAGATTAGAAGAGGCGTTTGTATCTGGATCTGGTAAATCTAACACCTCGAATTAAAATAAAAATGGTCTCGCTAGTCAAGCTCTTTGCAATTGGAACAGATATTGAGATGACTTCTGAGGGCGTGAGGACAGTGACACATACATAACGTTATATGCCTAGATGTCAGGGCACAGGGGCTAGCAAACGATTTATATTGGATAAGAATAAAAACAGCGAGAAAAATACGATATGTACAGTAACGTATTTTTTCTCGCTATTTTTATTCGTATCCCTTATAAATCGTTGCTAGAGCTAGATCTCTTACTCCCTCTCGAGCTCCCACTCCGCCTGCATTGGGTAGCAGTCGCTGTTAAACATTTTATTACTAAAATGGGGAATTAACTAAAAACATGTTAAGTTTTTTTTAAACATAATGAACGAAAAACGGACGTCATTCTTGTGTAATAGCACGGACTTAGATAACAATATGTTTACTATAAACTTTCGCATTCTGCGACATTTCTCTGGTATTCGACACAACAAACATAATTATATTTAAACAGAAGTATAGCAAAGATCACTTACTTTGAAATCCGGACAATGTAACGGTAGAGATAGCCCAAAATATATTACTTCTGAACGGCAATCAATTTCTTCGATGATTGAAGCGGTGGGGTTTTTCCCCAAATGACATAAATTCTCACGCTTTCTCGTAGTTTCTCGCAACATCAAGTGCACGGCACATATTTCCTATGCCGAAGAGGCAGTTGCCTTTCCCTCTAATCTAATTCCGTGGTAATAGCTATAACCCCTTTTGCGTATCTAATTCAATGAGTTTAAACAGTTGAACCTGAAAGACGGCTACAGATCTGAACTGAAGTCGACCACAGGAATATTCATCACATTTAGATTGAGGGGTTCAGATGTGCCTGACTGAAAGTAAAATGCTGACTATTGCTAGTTTGCGTTATTTCTTTATAGAAGTAAAAGGTCCAGCCACATGTATATATATTCAATATAGGTTATGTAATTCAGTGGATGCATGAAAGAACGACATATAATACTTGATATATTGTTATTTATTCTCCAAAACTGTGCATTTATTAGCTCTGCTTATTGTTCTATCCAAATGCATTCATTTATCTTGGAATATTTCCGCACCACCTGAACCGTTTCAACCGGGATATGAGAATGTAATCTAGGAGTAAAAAAAGCATGGCAAGCCCTGGGTTCTAACCCGGGACCCTCTGAACTCTTAGACAGATACTCTAACCGATTGAGCTACAAATGGCGATTGACCCAGTCCAGTTCCGTTACATTTTCATAACATAAATCTAATCCAATAAATAATACAATTCACAGTGCACAAACATAATGTTAATTTACCTGTGTAACTTTTTAATGACAAACTGCAATATTTTTATTCTGATCACCTGTCACATTTGCAGTGGCCATGGATGCTCCCCAAGTACTACACTCTATGCCAGGGTATAGTCAACAGAGAACTTAGCAGATGTCAGAAATCGTACAAATGTACTTTATTGTATTATTGACTGGTTGTTATTTTCATTTCACTTCATATTCCACTTTTTAGAAATATAATTGTTTACTGTAAACAGTATGTAACTGTTACAACCTGACTATGATTAGGTGCATGTGGTAACAGGGTTTCATTGTGTGACTGTCATTGTAAGAGAATTTTCAACGTGATTGTATTGAGGTAATATATCATTGATTGCTTTTCTATGGGAAGATTTCCATCAAAGTTAACCGACCAACTTCTATCAAGTAGGCCTATACACTGGGACTTTACTAGATCGTTTATGAGGATGAACTGGTATACCTATCCAAGTCGTATCAATGCAACATTTCAGGAATAAGCTTGATGAACCTTTCACATGTTACATGGATGAGGCCCTGAATGTCTTCGTCAAAACTTTAAAGTTCACCAGAAAGTAGCATCAGATGACAAGGTCCCTCCTTATAATTGAAACAACTCTGGTCCAACCATTTGGTTAAAAGTGGTCAAGTTAGGCTCCTTTGGTAATTAGGAAGGGCTGAGGCCATGCACCAATTTGCACATTCAACTTATGTGCCAGTAAAATTCGAGAATTAAACATAGACAGATTTTGTAATGTCCCATTATTTAGCCATGCATGAAATGGTAGAAAAACTGGAAATGGCCGATTGTGTTGTGTGCATGGTCTTCCTATTATAAATCCCAGATCCTGCCTCTCATGGAAAACACTGGTCAGCTAGATTCCAGCGATTTCTGCAAAGCACCATTTTCATTCTGTAATAAAAGGTTACTTGTCAGGAACTCGCAAAATTTCAAAATGCTGGGAAAGAATTAATTTCACCATTAAAATTTCTGTTTAAAAAAAACATATCTCCCTTGGCCTAGCCTGTGGTAGATAATTATATAATAATTATGCAAATTATTGAAATTCTTTGATTACCACTGTAATATATGTCCTATTTTCCAGATGGCATACAAGAACAAGGATTTCTGTCATTCCACAGATCCTTACCAGAGGTAATAATTCACAATTAATTATGCAGAGGGAGGTACAATGTATAAGTGCTGGAATTGAAGACGGACTGTTAATAACTTATTTTAAATATGTTGTAAAAAAAAATCAATATTGTACTTACTACATGTATATAACAGTTTCTGTGAACTAAGTCAAAACAGATTTCCCTAAACTAGGACAAGGAAGATTGCTGGAAAAGTGTTTGAATGAACCCTGTATAGGACGTAATTATAATCTCTCACAGACTAGACTGGTGCATATGTGACTTGACAATAATGTGTGCAAAATTCCTACTAATTTTACTGTATTACTTGTTGGAACTTCTAGAAATATTGTTAGACTCAACCATAGATGTATTTCACTATTTTTTTCAGAAATCCAGTACCACCCTGAGAGTTTTTGACAGAAATGTAAGTGAATTTCATGTTGTATACTTGTATGATTTTACTCTTCACACTGGACACATGCATGCTACGTATACATACACTGTAGTTGAATTGTTGTGTGCCCAGTCCATGTCGTATATGACTGTCATTTAAAACAGTACATGTTTTAGTGTAATGTTCAACTCTACCAACACACAATAAATGTCCCCATGAACATTGTTTAAAGAAAAATTCTCTACCTCATTTTTGTCTGTGAAGGATGTCAGGATAACAGGACTTGGGTGTTACTTTTCCGGCAACGGCGGTGGCGTCACTTTTCCGGCAACGGCGGTGGCGTCACATTAAGTTTTTGCGTTTAGCTGTGTTTCTCAAAAAGTATAAGTGCTAGACCAACCAAACTTGGACCATACATGTGTCTTATATACTTCAACTCAATCCATGCATCAGTTGCTGAATGTGCCCTACATTTCGCGGTCCTGTGTCTTTGACAGCATCTTCATCAATGTTAAGTTTTTGCGTTTAGCTGTGTGTTTCATGCTGTATCTCAAAAAGTTAGTGTTATACTAAATAAACTTGGACTGTAGTTGTTTCAGACGTAGTGCATCTCAAACCATGCCTTATATACTGAATGTGCCCTACATTTCGCGGTCCAGTGACTTTGACAGCATCTTCATCAATGTTCAGTTTTCACATTTATCTGTGTTTCATGCTGTATCTCAAAAAAAATGAGCTTCTGGTCGAACTTACAATGCTTCACACATTGAATCTTATGATCAATGCGGGGACAGGCCAGACATCTAATTATGTGTAATTCTTGTTGTCATAGGTAGCATTACTGGAATTAAGGAAATATCTTTAAAGTTGAGGCAATTCTCTTCAATTTCAGCAAATGCTTCCTTTGGAAAAACTTTAAAGTTCCTGAATAATCTTAAGTTAAAATGTGTCTGTGAAACTGGATGTACTTGTCATCATTGTAGATAAATAAATAGCTTGGCTTTCAAAAGAAATTTGAACATTGCAAAATTCCATAAGAGGTGACAGAATTGACTGCCTAAAACCTGGTTTTGGCTTCCTCATGTTCACTTTTCCTCACGCATCAATATGTAAAGTTGTCAAAATTGACCTGCTAAAATTGTTATTTAACTTGTTGGCATAATAATTTGGGAAAACCGGGGTACCCTGCATATCATCAACTGAAAAACTTTTCACTGGCTATGATTGTATTTTCCTATTTCACAATGAGACAACTCCAGGACAGAAATGGGTCGTATCCTATAAGAATGAGGCATTTCTTCCTTAGGAATATGTTGATTACAGAATAATCTGTTAAAAGACAATAAGATGTTTTGAACATTAAATTTTATTTGTTATCTTTTGAAGGACTACTACACCGTCCATGGCTCAGATGCTGTGTTTGTTGCCAAGGATGTGTACAAAACTGCTGGTGTCATCAAAATGCTTGGAGCAGGTATGTAAATATACAAATAATTACAAGTCTATTTGATTATTTCATCACTTGAAAATATTGCTGACAAAATAACTTTTGAAAAGAATGATTATAAACTATTTATCCCCTTCCAATGGGTGGTGTTTCAGGGGCCGAGTTCAAAATTACTACTAATGCTGTTTATTAAAATTTCAGTATGTGAAAAAGTAAGATATTCCCTAAATCAAGTTGGGTCAGTCTATTTACGAGTCAAATATCGTTTTCTTTAATTTCACTGTGTATCTCTATTATTGAAAAGTTTTACCTATACAATAATTCAGAATTTTCACATTAGTTTGAAATAATTTAATGTTCTAAATGTATGCAAAGATCTTTGGAAAATACACCAGGTATATAATTAATATCCTGCTTCATATTTACATATGTATTTATACATAAAAATATAACTGAATCGGATTTAACAAGTACACCTTTTTAGAACTTTACATGTGAAACATGTACATCATCATTTGCAACACATACAAGATTATTTTTACCCCTGCATTGCTTTATTCACATTTATTTTAAAATTCACACATCGTTCAAAATTCTCTGCTTAAACATGTACATTTTTGATTTAACAAACAAGGTGAGAAGAAGCTGGAGTCTGTGGTCCTGAGTAAAATGAACTTTGAGTCATTGGTACGAGATCTGTTACTGGTACGACAGTACCGTGTGGAGGTATACCGTAACAAGGGTGGCTCCAAAAACAATGACTGGTCGCTGGCATTCAAGGTATGAAGATCCATTGATGTCATATTTCTGTGATGTTGTGTTGAACAACATGTTATCTGATGGTCATTAATTGATAATGGGTAGCACATTATTTTGTGTAGCATCCTACATTTTGACATTGCAAGTCAAGAAAGAAAGTTCATCTTGTAATATATGACTTTGTGGAGTCGTCAAGGAGTTTCTTCACTTATATCATTAGAACATGTATGAAATAAGTTGAAGACGATTTGAAAGGAATGTAACTGTCATACACTGTATGTGTATGTATTTATTAGCCATAGGAAACATATTTACAATTTGTCAAATTCAGGATTTTTCACAAATTCATTGAAACATGAATAAAGAGAACTACCTGTCTTAAGCGACCATTATTTAGCCTCTTTGACTGACCATGTATTACAGGTTTACCAGAACTGTTGACTTCAGTTGTTTTTGACCTAGCACAGCATTGCTAATCTTTATTTTTACTGTCTGTTAATTAATCTGATTTGTCGGCAGGCCTCCCCCGGTAACCTGACACAGTTTGAAGAGATCCTTTTTGGGAACACAGACATGTCTACCTCTGCAGGGGTCATAGCTGTAAAGATTGGCACTGACACAGGCCAGCGGGTACAAACATCTAATTATTTCTTCTCGAAAAGCTAAATGAGACTCTTTGCATATTGAAAAGTGCATATATTTATGTTACAAAATACTAGAATTATTGTTTCATTGCTGTTGCAGATAAAAATAAGAATTGCATTTAATTGAATGTGTAGAAATGTTTGTTAATTGACCATCAAATACATGTAGATGTAATTATAACTGACCAGTAAAAAGTAGGGCTTATCGGTAGAGACTTCTACATCATGTGCATATTTCTTCTTTTTTTTATGGAGAATATTAAAATTGAACTAGATTTGGAATTAAATAACAAAAAACTTGAGCATTTGGTTCTGACAAGTTCAAATTTATGAATGTGACCTGAATTTACATATATGGAGAGATAGTTGCTGTGCTGTTGTTATAATGCCCTTCATTTTAATTGATTTTTCAGCAAGTAGGAGTTGGATATGCTGATGCTACCCTCAGAAAATTCATGGTCAGCGAGTTCATGGACAACGACCAATTCTCTAACCTTGAGGTAACATTACTGGAGTAAGACTTTTTATACCACTCCTTCAAATAAAGTTGGAGTAGGCTAGGGCAGATTACATGATTGTTGTATAAATAGTATTTGTCAAGTGCATCCGATCGTCTGTGTTGTTGGTGGTTATCTCAGCCACTGTTTCAGAAGCAAATCTTGCCCATTGCCTTATGTATCATGGGTATAAGACTTGGCATGCAGATAGGTCATGAGAAGGGGCATGTGCCAATACCATGACCTCTATATGATTTTGTCTTAGGTACTGTAATACATATTTCATAGTGTAGTTGTCATTTCACTTTAAGATTAATGTAGGGAGATCGTACTCAATATACACAAACCTGTATTTAATGCAATTGCTTGGTTGCCATTATTAAGTGAAACTTTGTTAAAATTATTAGATAATTCTTTTTGATCTCCATATGATTATTTCTGGATGAATCTTTTGCTGCTGAAATGGTTGAAATTTTGTCCCTGTAAATATTTTTGATGTCTCTTTTAAATGTTTCACCTCTACAGGCACTGATAGTCCAGTTGGGTCCAAAGGAGTGTCTCATCATGTCTGGGGAGATCGGTGCTGATGCAGGCAAACTGAAGCAAGTGCTGGACCGAAGTGGTCTGCTGGTGACTGAACGCAAAAAATGTACTAATAATTTAGAAATCACAATTACTTTACTACTGTTACCAAATTCTACTGTTTGCTTACATTTTATTGTGTGCATTTTACATACATGTATATGGGATTCCCCCCCCCCCCCCCCCCCCCCCAGTGTTGGATCATCACACTCAATACACTGTTGTCTATTATACATATTTCATAATTTAGGGGCCAAAAAACCCCAGCTTCTTTTGAAATGTACTACATGTTAAGGTAGAGTAAAACCTTGTTATATTGCCATCATTTGTTCAAAGAAATATTGGCATTATAAAGGGATTTGGCAATAAATTGAGGGAAATGTGTAAAGGAATTCTTTAAGAAAAACGTAATTAGGGACCTTAAAATATGTTGGCGGTAAGTAAGGTGGCAAATGAAATGAAGGGCATTATATCAAGGTTTTACTGTACATGTGTTTCTATTGATATTTGCTATTTTACAACAAATATCACCAATAGGCGAGCTATGCTGTTCTCCAATAGCTCTTGTTTAAGATATAGGGCTAATGATTTTATAAACTTCAAATTTTATAAAACAAAAAGCAAAGACTGACTCAAAGAATCCTATGCTTAATAAGTTTATTCTGTGTTTCAGCTGACTTTTCCTCAAAGGATGTCATTCAAGACTTGAACAGGCTATTGAAATTTAAGAAAGGAGAGCAAGGGAACAGTGCATCTCTGCGTAAGTACATGTCAAAATGCAAATGTGATGAAATGTTGGGTTAGGCTGTTACTTGAAGATCCTTTAATATTTTCTCTCATTAACTCTTGAGTTTGGGAGTCTTGTACAACACCTTGTAAAAAGTTCATTTAGCACAACCAGTAAAGTGCTTATGTGTGATGTTTCTTTGACAGTGCACTATGTACTCATCAGACAAATGACCAGTGAAGTGTATGTACAAAGGTGTAAAAGTATGTACTAGTTGGCAATACAAATTAAACATCGACTCGGATATGTTATAAGGCCAAGTGTATACATGTACAGTTGATCGTTACACATGGATTAAAGGATGAATCAAACTAACATACATGCCAATTTGGCTTCACACGTTTGATGCCTGGTCATAATATCATTGCTTCATAGCTGGATCATATGGCTTTAGTTCCTTTGATTACTCTTTCAGCTGTGTGATTCTATTACAAATATCAGATGTGTTATGATGGCTAAAATGTTTGTAACATTACATAACTGCACATTGCATTTTTTTAATGTTATACTTACAGCTGAAACAGAAAAGGCACAGGCCATGACCTCCCTTTCAGCTTTGATCAAGTATTTAGAGGTAATCTGATAATGTATTTACAGCTAGGGGCAGTGTTGTAAAAGGAAATGATACAGCCCTAATATATAACTGTAGGGCCAGTGTTGTAAAGGTAAACAATACAAGCCAAGGGCTACACTTATGTAACAAAATAATAGATTATCTATTAATTGCATAGACAAGACTAAGATAACAAGTATTAGCTTTTTCAAAGTTCCATTTGTTCTGAAAGATTTTTCTTTATATTTTTTTTTTTGTAAACTCCCAACCCAACTTTAATAGGTAAGGGGAGATAAGCTAATGACTTTGTCAGTGCATCAATTCATGGTAAAACAAAATTGCGTAGTGTATTGCATGAATTCCTCAACAGGTTTAGTTTATATTAACACCAAAAGTGTTTGCATCAAGTTCTATACCTGATAAGATGTTGGTGGTCATCGATAAAGGTTAAAGGGTCAAAGGTCACACTTGACCACTTTTGAAGTAAAAAGCTTGTGTACAAGATATCTCTTGGGTGGTCGGGTGGTGCAGTGGATAGCGCACTTGCCTTTCACCAAGGGACCGGGGTTTGATTCCCCGATCAGACGTGAAAAGGTTTAGGGTCACCTGCTCGACAACGTGGGTTTTCTCCGGGAACTTCGGTTTCCTCCCACACTAAGACCCCCGCACGCTAACATCCGGGCCAACAGGAGTGATAAATATGAGTTGAACTAACTTGTTTCATAATTGTTATAAAATAAATAAAGTTTATTTATTTATATCTCATGAAACACTCAACAAGTTTAGTTTTTATTTACGCCATAGTGTGGAAAAATCAATTTCTACCCCAGATTAGATTTTGGTGGCCACTGATCAAGTTAAACAGTCTATAAGGGTACATTTTACTACGTTTTAAGTAAAAACTTGTGTAAAAGATATGTCATGAATTATTTATATTTACACCCTAATTAAGCATGCTAAAATCAAATTCTACTTCTTATCATATTTTAGTGTTCATCGGTCCAATTACAGTTAAATGGTCAAAAACCACACTTAACCACTTTTATGATTATTTCTTTATAATAAGCAGGATCTCCAGGTATTAAGTTTTTTCATTGGAAATTTTATCTAATTGAAGAAAAAAAATCTCGATCTCATTTTAGGAAATGCCCAGATTTTGGTATCATGTATTAAAAGGAGTGTAAAGAAGTATAAAGCTGTGTAATTTAAGTTTCTATTTTGACTAGGATTTGTGTCTCTATTTTAGCTGTTGTCAGATGAAGAAAACTTTGGTCAATTTAGTTTGTCCCTGTTTGATCTGGGTCAGTACATGAAGCTGGACGCTGCAGCAGTGAGAGCCCTCAACCTTCTTCCCAGCACAGTCGAAGGTGCGTACCAGGTTTTAGAGCCTCTGTCATCTGACAAACCATTCTGTAAACAGATGTTTTTTTCAAAAAGTTTTGAATTATTTGTTGAAAACAAAATATTCAAGTTCTATTTTATATGTAAAAGCAGATCCTTAAATGAGTTTATGAGAAAACAGCAAGTTTTGATCAGAAAGAATGAAAAGAAGAAACCTGTTATTTTGTTAATACATGTATATTATTGGTATATACTGGTCATACACGATACAATTTTTTAAGTTTTCCCAGTTATCTATCTATACCCTTTACAAACTAAATGTTTGGATACTCTGTTTACAACACAGTTCAGAAATTTGAACAATAATGTTTCCTTTATGTTTCACTGCTAATGATGCTTAACATTTGCAATAATTGTGAACAAATGTAAAAATAGATCTGTATGAATACTTTATATTTAGTAATTTTTAACACTTAATAGTGGTAAATCAGTGAATTCAGCACAACTGCAAACATTGGAAGTTGAATAACACCACAGACCTAGCAGTTAAGATTTCGATATTCACTACTGTAAATTGGTATTATTCTGCATTATTTTGAAAATTTAAACACTACACAAAATCAAAGCAGTGTTTGTATATATATATATACAGCTTAATTGCTGCCTTCGGCTGTCGAGGGGACTATTGGTTTTACATAATAGCTATATTTTCAATTATAGTATATCAATTCTATCTTCTTGTAATATGATGTATATGTACATGTAACTGTTCTGTTTCACTGTGTCTTGAAAAAGGAGAGGATCGCTCCGAAAATTTGACAACCTTAACTTGTCCACACTGTTGGAATTACTTCTTTGCCCCATATATATATATATATACAATACTAAGAATTTTATGAAAATTGGTTTCTTCTTTTTGTGTTTAAAGGTGGAAACAAGAACCAGAGTATACTTGGATTACTAAACAAGTGTAAGACTGCCCAAGGTCAAAGGTTATTGTCACAGTGGGTCAAACAACCTCTGGTAGATCTTAATAAAATCGGTAAGACATTAACCATCAGTTTTGAGATAAGTGGCAGGAAATATCCTGCTGTAAAATTGGAATATCCGAGTGTCCATCTTGCAAGATCATTATGGCATGCATCATTCTTGGATATTAAAAAGTGTGTAAAAGGGCCAACAGATTAATGATGAGAAACTTTGTTAATGAAGTTAAATGTATATATACCTTATCTATAATCTGAGATTTTACAAGATTTTAATAAAATCTAATGAAATAATGTGTTCAGTATAGTATGTGTACTGTATATAGGGTTGTTTTAACTACAATATGGTACAAATGCAGTGGAAGATTAGTACCGCATGACATTCCTCTTTCATAAAAACATTTTGTAGTGATGTCTGACTTTTATTAAATTCTAGAGGAGCGCCTAAATGTGGTACAAGTATTTGTGGAGGACACAGAACTCAGACAGACATTACAGGATGAGCAGCTAAGAAAAATTCCAGATTTCCAGAGATTAGCCAAAAAGTTTCAGAGAAAGAGAGCTACACTACAAGTAAACTGTTTTAGAATTTAAAGACTGATTAGTATTTATTTATTTCTACTCTAGATTAAGCATGGACATGCTCAGTGTATGAAACTCATGAAAACAACAACAGCCAACTTAAACAGACTATTAGACAAGAAAAGAAAGTGAAAAATTGGTATAAGAGGTCCTGATGTTTATGGGTGATGGTTGTTATAGAAAATTAGAATCTCCCTTTTTCTACATAGCTTATGATATGTTTCAGGATTGTTACAGGGTGTACCAAGCCATAGACAAGATGCCTTACCTGCTTGAGGTATTAGAGAAACATGAAGGAGAACACCAGTCACTACTTATGGAGCTGTTCACAAACCCGGCCAAGGTAAGATCTGGACAGGTGTTGATGTGGAGCTAGTTACTCAAAGTGTACAACATCTCAAAAAAAAGTTAAAAGGGAAATGATAACGAATGATTTCCTTATTACTTAGCTGGACTAAATAATCAGCTAAAAATTGAAGCAAACAGCAACTGTGTTACAGAAAAGTACTAGATCAAAAATAACCTTGACACTTAAGAAAAATATGTATCATCTTGACACATGAAAATGAAATATAATTATTGTGATGTAGATTTAAAACAACACAAAACTCAGATGTGAGTAACTCAGATCATCTATGCGAGTATCATGATGTATTGTGATACATTGTTAGACAACTACCAGTCCATATTCTGAAAGTGAATGTACTCATGAATCATTTGAAATATTACTATTAAATTGGTTTGTGGAAAGTATGTGGGTTTTTTGGATAAATTAATATTGATGTTAATTCCCAGGAACTCATTTTGCTCTTCATGGAACTTTATTTCATTTTACCAATCCATTATACTGTGTTTGACCCAGCTACTATTTTCCCATTTTGTCTTTCTTCTACATTTATTGTTCCTGTATTTGTTAAATTTTCTTAAATTAGTTTAACTTATAAAAATTATAATTCGCAGTATACCTATATACACTGTGGTGATAATGATAAATTTGATACCTTTGTTTTATTTCAAAGTGTTTTGTATCTAAAGAAATTACAATATCCAATATTTTTTTGCATTCCAGGAATTATTGATGGATTTTGCCAAGTTCCAGGAAATGATCGAAACAACAATGGACCTGGCTCAGGTAGAAAGCCATGATTTTGTGATCAAAGCTGATTTTGATGAAGCCCTTGCAGGTAATGTTACCTATAGATAGGTAAAAAAATAAGTGGATTCAGGAATGTCAAATTTATTTCAATGTACTTGACCAGGGCAATTTAGAATGTACTCTTGCAACAACTGATATTTTACCTGCCTATTTTCATTTGTTTTGAGAAAAAAATCTTGTATCTGCTCAATCTGACAATTAGATGTCCCAAGCTTTGAAAAGTAGATTTTTACACTTGTTAAATGTTCTTTTTCGATTTTAATATGCCAAAAATGTGTCACTGGACTTTGAATAATATACATACTAATAAGTTGTTTTTGTAGACCTGTAAGAATAGACACTAATGTAGTGATTTTGTATACAGTAGCAAATATCAATAACGAAGAAGGATTCATAACAAGATGCAATGTTTTCTATCTTTGAAAGTCATATATTGTCACTATATTTGGTTTCAGCCCTTAGAGAACAAATTGATGAGCTTGAAAACAACATCAAAGGCCAGATGAACAAGGTGGGGAACTAAATGTTTACAGCTGTTACAGTGTAGAGTGTATCGTCTATCAATGCTGCTCACTACTCCCCATTGTGCATCAGCAGTGAAGGAGCAGACAAAATAGGTCTTTGCTGACTCTAATAAAATTTTAAAATTAAATGTATAAACTCTTTCAGCGCAAGTTGCAGGATAAAGCTAGGTTAATGTGGAAAATTGAGCTATTACATAGATTTAAATTTCTTGCATGTCTTTTTGTTCTGATACTAATTCCTTGCTTTAAAAAAAAAAAAAAAAAAATCTAATTAGCCACTAGAACAAGTTAGATTATCAAAAGGTAAGTGATTGCTTTTATGTTATAGGTGGCAAGAGATTTAGGAGTAGAACCAAACAAAGTGCTCAAGCTTGAGAGTAACAGCCAGCTGGGATACTTCTTCAGGGTCACAAGGAAGGTAAAAATTGTCTTAAGAGAGTCGACAGCATTGATAAGTTTTATTATCAATACTGAAACAATTGAATGTAACTTCAAATGTCTTGAAAATGTCAAATTATTCATTATTAAATATAAATCATTGATTATTTCAATATATGCAAAGCTTGGGAATAACCTGCAAGATCACTGATTGTTGACTGGCAAAGACAGTAGTGTGATAGCAGAAGTGGTAAGGTCCTTTCAAACTTGACTAGCAACCCTTGCAATCATGCGATTCTGGCATACTATTTTTTCTCAAATCGCTGACTTCATTTGAAGACCAACAAGTGCGTATTTTTAATACACCCTTAAATTAATTTTCATCTAATTGTATAGTTGTTCAGGGTAATTAAAGTTTTTATTTCATGTAATCTACCAAATTTATACAAGATATATGCTGTATTTAACTTTCATATAAGGTTAAATTTGGGTTAAAATGTAGCACATATTACACACTCTAAAATTATGGTAAGTGTCATGCCAATTGATTTTACAATAAAAAAAGATATTAATGTTAAAACTAAACGTTATTTGCCTTGTTTTTTTAAACAGGAAGAAAAGGCTCTGAGGAACAACAAAAATTACACGACCATTGATACAAAAAAAGATGGAGTTCGTTTCCACAACAATGCTGTGCGTCGCATGAATGAGGAATTCCTGAAGGCAAAGGAGGATTATAATGAGCAACAGAAGAGTGTGGTTGCTGAGATCATTACAATAGCAGGTGAGGTGACTACTCTTTGCCCGAGGTAAAACCAGGTCTGTGCCTTTCCACATTGATGGTGGGAAGACTTAGATTGTGTGCTGTCTGTCTAGCTTTGGCTTCCTTCAGACAATAATAGTGTTATTATTTTTTGTATTTTTTGTATGATCATGCCCATATTTTGTATTCTGTTTCGGATAAGAAAAAAGATGCTTCGGATACGCTTTTGAGATTGATGAGTAGTTTGAAGGTCACATGTTCAGTGACGCAAAGCTTAAGTACAATTTTGTTTTCCAATTAGTAACTGCTGTCCAGTTTTAAATCACAAGCATGCCTTTGTTAAATGCACAGGTTGCTTTTGAGAACTGGATACTTGTGAGTATGCTTTTAAGGTAGGTCAAATGATTTGTTTCTAGAAATAGGATTCCATGTAATATCTAACAGTTTTCATGCCCCAGCATCTTTGTATAGTATTTGTTTTGCTCATTCATCTGTCTGTTTGTCCAAGTTTTTTACTATCTCTGCCAATGTTCCATGCATGTGATGACATCAGACTTTGTATGAAGATGCAAAATGAGAACACACTGTGTCACATACCAAAAGTAAAGTCATTGTGACCTTCGTAGATTATTCCACATTTTATCTGATTCTCAAATGTAGAAATTGATTTCCAGACCATATCTCAGCTACTAATTCATGCATACACTTCAGATCTTATGAAATGGCACTGTATTGCAATTGCATACCAAAGTAAGGCTATTGTGACCTCTTCTGACCTTCTGACTTTGATCTCACTAACTGAAATACAGATTTCTGAGTTATATTATACCCAAAGATTCCTATGGGAAGATAATACTAAGTTGGTACACATGTACATCATAGTCGAGCAGTATCACATTCCAAACAGAAATCACCACAACCTCTATTCAGTACTGCAGCTACATATAAAAATGTGGGGTGTGAGTGTGCATGTTCAGTTTGTGTGATCTCGTTCATATTTGGTGGGAAAATGGGAGTGGATGCTTTAGATTGCTTTTCAGGTTAAAAGGTTAGTTTTGTTACTAAAAATAGAATTTTAGTTAATGGACAATTACTGCTGTTCATGACATGAGGGCAATGCCTTTCTTAAACCATAGTCTTATAGAACATTCTTACAATAATTTCATTTTACTTCAAACATCTAAGAAAAATCTCAATAATGATAAATTTCTCGTGTTTTACAGCGGGATATGTGGAGCCGATGCTACTGTTGAATGACATCATTGCCCAGTTAGATGTGCTTGTGAGTTTCGCCCATGTTGCTGTTTCTGCACCGATTGCTTATATACGACCAAAACTGTTCGCAAAAGGTAAGGTACACAAATCTTGAAATTGATATCAGACAAATATTTTATTTAATTCCTGTTAACTTGAACACAGCCAGAATGAACACAGCCAGAAAGTTATGAGACAGTTAAGTTCTTTTGAAACAGTCATCAATAAAGTTGCAAAATTGTTTCAAATATACATTTTTTTCAATTAATTTCATCAACACAGGAAGTGGTAAAATTCAGTTGACAGAGGCAAGACACCCTTGCTTAGAGATGCAGGATGATGTGGCATTCATACCCAATGATGCTGGTTTCACTAAAGGTATATTTTGAACTAAATTATCCTATTCTACTTTCAGAAGGTATTTGTATTGTTGACTAATTAAGCATCTCAAATGTAGATTTTGTTGATGTTTTAGTTTGCATCATTTTCTGGCTCTAAGTAGTGACAAACACTGAGATTTCATAAATTAATACCTCGTGATTTATACTTTTATAGTCAGCTTAGAAATGTATTTTACCATGTATAACCAAACAGAAAGAAATATTCTTAAATCTGATTTAGATATGGCCATAAATTCGGATTTTCTTTAATTGTTGATGTACTGCTTTTTTTCCAGACAAACAAATGTTCCATATCATAACTGGTCCAAATATGGGAGGAAAATCTACATACATCCGCTCTGTAAGTGTTTTTCTCTCTGTGTTCCTGATGTTCTTTTTAAACACTGTATGAAGGTTTAGGTATCAGGCTTGTTTTTGTTGATGCCACATGGTTCTCTGAGGAAGGGAAATTATTGTTTTAATATCACCTAACTCTAAACAGAAGATATATGGACCTCATATGGATACATCAATCCATTGATAATAATCTCTAGGATCAGTTTATGATTGTATTACAATTATTTCCATACTTAATTGAAGGATTTTTCATTGACGATTTTGTTATTTATTTCTATAGAAAACTATTTAGTGAAACTACTATATAATTAGGAATGTCCATTATATTTAAATGTAAGAAACCAAGGAATGCAATCTTTGAACCTTGTTGGAGATAGGCAAGAAAAGAGTTAATGGAGATAAATAAACTGATCATGATGTTCGCATGGGTGAAAGGTAGATAGGTAAAATTGAAAGGTAGAAAAGTAAAACTGATGCTCTTAAACTTTTATAAAGGTACGAATAGTACTGTAAAAGGGGAAATTCTTGCATGTAGAAATGTCTATGTTGTGACTTTTTGCTTTGTTGAAGTTTCAATTTTAGTGATGGTTCTGATATCTATTTCCTCTAGATGTCAATATCAGTAAGTAGATATAAATGTGTGGATATTATTTTCATGCTAATTTACTCAATGGGGAAACACCAGCACTTCTACACTGCAAACATTTCCTCTTTTACAATAGATATGTAAAACTGAAATGAACATGAATTCCTGATAGCTGTGAGTTGTAGAAAGCTTAAACTGATGGTCATGTAAACTCTTTACAGGTAGGAGTGGTAGTGTTGATGGCACAGATGGGATGCTACATTCCGTGTGCTGAAGGGGAGATCACCATTGCAGACAGCATACTGGCACGTGTCGGAGCAGGGGATAGTCAGCTTAAAGGCGTGTCAACATTCATGGCAGAGATGTTGGAAACCGCCTCTATCCTCAGGGTAATTATTGCATTATTTGTGCAAATGGGTTACAACTGTTAAATAATATGATAAATATAATACATAAAGGGTTGAAAGGAACTAATTTGAAAAAACAAAGTTTTGTGTAAATTTTTATTTTACTATGATTAATTTTTCTGTTAAATTTAATTTGAGTTATTACGGCAGAATTCTAATGTGTTGAATATCAATGTGGTACATTATATGTACATGCTGACTAATGAGTTACCATTGCCTAATGAATTGGATTTCCTTGCATTAAATCTTGTTGGTAATTTATCAATTCACAGTTGCAACAATATTTGTTTCTTTTAGTCAGCAACAGAAGATTCTTTGATAATCATAGATGAGTTAGGAAGAGGAACATCAACTTATGATGGGTTTGGTCTGGCCTGGGCAATTTCTGAGTGAGTGATCTAGTTTTAGTTCTACCCTGACAAGCAATTACTTTATCCTAGAATCTGTTTTTAAGGGATCGGTACATAATAAATTCAGAATAATCTTCTAGTTTAGTCCATTTCCATTTGCCAAATAACATATTTCATTGATCAGTAATAAAAAATGATATTGGTTCCTTTGACCAAAGAAGTTAATTTTAATATTAATGAAAGTGTTACCACAAACGTTATCCAGCGAGAACACGTGTATGGCAATTATGTGCTGCAATACATTACAGAAGAATAACCTATGGCAGTTTTATTTATTATGGTCTTTGATTTGTTTTCTAGATATATTGCTACCAAAATTAAGGCCTTTTGTCTGTTTGCCACCCACTTCCATGAGTTGACAGCCCTGTCAGATGTTGTGCCTACTGTCAACAACCTGCATGTAACAGCACTCACAACCAACGACACTCTTACCCTGCTGTACAGGGTCAAACCAGGTAGACAGCTGTGTGTCTTACTTTTAGGTTCAGGGAATGTTTTGGAACATTTTTTTTTATGACTTTTATTGGACATGCACAGTCATTAGTATTCTGGATTTATATTTTAGCAAGTGGTAATGTCCATAAGCCTAGCAAAGAGCAACTCCAGTTAAACTTTTTATGATAAAGCTGCACCTTGTTTGAATCCTGGTATTTTACACTCGGAACACTGCTGTTGGTTATATTTAGTTTATTTCATTGTTATTAATATAATTATTGTCATAAAAGTCCTACAAGGTATGGTTTTCTTTTCGGAAATGATTTATAAAAATTGAAGTCATACTGGGGAAAAAAACAGTTTCCAATACATAGTTACAGGTTGTGGCAGTAGTATCACCACCTTAAGAAATATTTGGTTTCAAACCTGCAGTAGGGAGATGCTAGCTATCCATTCTATCATCACAGCTAAATTGGGGTGTGGGATCTAAATAATCTGTCCCATGTTATGGTGTAATGTGATCGAGATATCTTGAACCCTTAGGTTTACGTTTGTCCAGGATGAGGCTGGAATCCTGCATTTAGCAAAATCTTGTGACAAGGGGTAGAGATTCCGCTATCCTACTCTTAACTAATGATTGTTCTTAACAGGTACTTCCATCTGTGTAGGAGACATCACATCATGCTTTTTATCTCTCCCTAAGACCAAACAGAAATCTCATACATGACCAATCAAGGATCAGTCACAAGTATGATAAATCTATATCCTCCATTGTCTTTGTCATAATTATGATGTTATCATGAAAACAATGGAATGGTGTCACATTTAATACTTGGTGGCAGGTATAGGTAATATCTTTTTTAAACAAAATAGTTATTTTATATTTTTTTGTCACCAGGTGTGTGTGACCAAAGCTTTGGTATCCATGTGGCAGAGCTGGCTCACTTCCCTAAAAATGTTATAGAGGTGGGTATCTGTATAACCAATTCAATGTTCTACTTGACTGTATCGCACTTCACTTCTTTAATGACATTAAGGTACAATGAGAATCTAGTAATGTTTTCATACATGTTAAACTGAAATCCAATTTTTTTGAAAATCTGTGTATTTGAATTGATAACTGTCAGAAAAATACAAAATAAAATACTATTCATGCAATAAATGATGATAAAAAGATTATCCTATATTTTAAGTAAACAGCAAAAGAATACAGATATAAAAATATTTGTTATCTTTTATTCTCAATACTTTGGTATGAAATCGATAGTCTTTCACAAAATTTGAAAAGAACACTTTTGTGACAATGCCGATGTTCTGGTTATCCAGTCATCCCTAGGCCTATTGTCGAAGTTATCCAGTCATCCCTAGGCCTATTGTTGAAGTTATCCTGTCATCCCTAGGCCTATTGTTGAAGTTATCCAGTCATCCCTAGGCCTATTGTTGAAGTTATCCAGTCATCCCTAGGCCTATTGTTGAAGTTATCCAGTCATCTCTAGGCCTATTGTTGAAGTTATCCAGTCCTCTCTGTAATCCAGGTGTCCACGTTCCAGTAATACATACATGTCTATTTCCCATAGGCTGAATCATGATTGGGTTACAGCAGGCCCCCTATAAACCATGTACAAAGCAGATATCAGTTTATCTCTTGTACTACTTAATCTTGTTTATATGATGTGTTTCTAAAATCAGTAAGTAGAAGTAACATAATTGACTATTTTTCAGTTTGCCAAGAACAAAGCCAGTGAGCTAGAGGATTTTCAGAATGTCTGTCTGTCTGGAACAGATTTGGAAGGCGATTCAGAGCCAGCTGTCAAGAAACGCAAACTTGTAAAAGAGGTATGTTTATATCTTTAATAGGATTCATCAGTTTGGAAATATGTGATATAAAAGTTTTACTTTCTACACAAACAATGTACGTATTAAACATGTCGCAACGTTTCATGATAGTTGCTTGACAAAGAGACCAGTCTGTCTTGAAACGTTGAGACACGTTTAATATGTACATTGTTTGTGTAGAAAGAAAAACTTTGATATGAGGTATGTTTATCTTTGCATATGAAAATGATATATAGTATCCATGTTTTGGTAATTAGTTTGCATGTGTACATACATGCACTTTCATCATTTAAGTCTATTTACTATCTCATTTATGAACATTGTGTTGATCCCTGATTACCATTATATTGATACTGGGTTAGTCAATATTCATGTAAGGAACACAGGAAAACCAATAGTTTATTTAAAAGAACAGTTCAAAGAAAGTGATTTACCTTGTTACTGGTGAAGTAACTTCCAGCACTTGTATATATATACTATGGACAATCTACAGGTGACTTTACCTGAAGAAAAATGTACTTAGCTAGTATCAAGGTTCCACTTAAAGGTCAAAGTGACAATTCATAATGGTCTGGCTACACTTTATTGTCACTACAGACACATTAACATTTTCACTAGATGGGCATTTTCTGGTGTGAACTGTGCAGGTTCAGAGAAAAAACAGAGTTACTTTGTTATCCTCAGCTTAAAGACATCTATCCACCTAAAGGACTCCAGGTTTTGTTTATGGGTACCACCCATGGGAGCAATCAATGATTTGCATAGAAGTAATAGCAGACCTGTCTACCATAAATGATTAGTAGGTGTAGTTTGTATGATGAAAAGCTGTCATTTTTAACTGGACGTATTCACTTTGAGTAATTTGTAAACTTTTCAGGTACTTCATACCTTTTCCTGTACAGTTTAGTTCAGTATCTGTCTTGGCACATACAACTTTTAATACCTAGTTTTCTATGATGTGGCAATGAATCTTTATGACATAATCAAGTGGATTGTCAGTTAAGACTAAACGATGATATTAATGTTCATGTTTCCTTATCCAAAGTCAAGGTCGCTATCAGAACAAATAGCTGCTTTTCCATGTCGGAACCATTCCATCCTTGTTATTGCAGATGCCATGATATTTCAAAAGTATATCACCATTAAATGGTGTATTGCTTACTTTATTTTTTTGTCATATTTTATGTGATAGGTTCTGTAAAAGTAGAAATTTTTGTGAAGTAAAAAGAATTTCAGTTTCTCGCAGTAAATAAGCGGGAAAATATCCACACACTAATATTTAGAATATTAAGATTTCAGACCCATTGTCAATGAAATAATTTCTGCACCATGATCAGTTTAAAGAATCACATTTCCATCCACAAATTCCAGTTTAATAGTTTTATGTCCGAGAGATTATCTTTTGTGCAAAATAAATTTCATTAATAATTCCAAACTGTCTTTTCAGGAAGGTGAGGACATCATCAAAGATTTCCTGTCTAAAGTGAAAAAATTGCCACTGTCAAGCTTATCTCCTGATGAGGCTATCGCAGAACTCAACAAACTTAAGGCCTGTGTGAAGGAGAAGAATAATCCTTATGTTGAGGATGTGATCTCGAGGGGAAAATGAAGCAACCTCATTTCCTTGTGTAAAGGAAAATAATGATGTCCAAATGGTTAATGCAAGTTAGGTGACCAGCCTGTACTGAAGATGATGTAGAGGGGATGTTATCTTTAGAGAAAAGTGAGGCTTTCATTTTTACTGACATGTGTTAAGGAGAAAGTCGTATCCAAAGACAAGTTAGGTGACAATCTTGTACTGAAGATGATGTAGAAGGGATGTTATCTTTAGAGAAAAGTGAGGCTACCATCTTTACTGGCATGTGTTAAGGAGAAAGTGGTATCCAAAGACATGTTAGGTGACAATCTTGTACTGATGAAGGTGTAAATCACTTCAGTTGATACTACCTTGAATAGACAGGCCAGTCTCTTAAACATCAGGCATATGTCGTGATACAGCAGTTACTCCAATACATTGTTTAGACATTGACATCTGCTATGACGTGAACAAAATTCTGTAAACGATTAAAATTCAAGACTTTGAGACTGTTTCAAGGTAGTACAAAGACGTTGTTATTGTGTTGTTGCAACCAAGAATGGACTGTAGGTCATCAATGTTACTGCCCAGAGACATTACACTGTTAGTGGAGCCTTCTTGGTCAGTCTTTAACAGTATTATTCTGTATTGAAATTTTGTGCAGCAAGTTGTTGCTCAAAGGTAGGGAGGTCCCATATCAGCTGTTGCTAGTGCTACATTTTACAGATGACATGGCAAATTTTGTTTCTGAAGTTCATGTACAGAACTTTGTTAAAAGAAAGAGGTGACATCACACACCCAGGACCTTGGTAATCATACTCCAGATCACATGTTATTAACATATTTTCAAGTACTGCATTTCCATCATTTCTGAGCACTGAGGAAGCTATATTAAGAATGATGCCCTGTCATACTTTGAACCTTCATGTTATGATATGTCTAGATAAGAAATTATCAGCTGCCTGAAGCATTACTGTACCTCAGGGATTTGGGAAACTTAATTATATGAACATTGCACAAGAAAGGTCATTTTTATTGGCTTTTTAAAAGTCGAAGCAATACATAAACTATCAGTTTTAGGGACATATTGTATATGATCATTGTTTCATTCTGAGAAAGAGAGGCATGTCTTCGACTTATCAGTAGACAGTTGCATGTGACATTTTTATTTTTTTACTAATTGTATCAAAGCTTCTTTTGAAATTGATGTATCTGACATGTGATCACATTACTTCAATATTATCGTCTTCAGATCTCCTTCATTTTATGTCATTCCTCCATAATCTTGATTTCAACTCTATTTGTTTTTCTTTCAAATACTGTTTATATGATTTCCGTTTTATTTTGTTATCAGTTCTTGAATATTATTATTTTCTGGCAACTCTGTCAAAAAATTGTGGTAACTTCGATTCAGACTAGCAGTGAAGTTGTTATCCACTTAATTATGTAATTACACTACTCAAAGATTGATTATAACATAAGTGCTTTTATGAATTCATGAAGTTCATGCATGGGTTTGAATGTGGTTGTGAATGAATTTGAAATATGGAAATGTGTGGAAAGTTAATGTAAAAATCTGCAGATAAAAAGAAATATAGAATGTTTCTGAATATTTTCAGGTTTGATACATACACATATGTATACAATATCAGGAACTATCTTGATATGTTGGCACCAATCATGGGATATGATTAAAGTAGCGAAATGTTTCAGAAAGTGCACTGCTTCATAGCTCATTGGAGAGTATTGTAACGTGATCATGAATAACTGTCATGGTCGAGTTATTGATGTGAACATTATGGCAAATGAATCCATATTTGATGTCTGAGTTATCTTAAAACTGTATTATCATGGTTCCTATCTGTGTGAGAAGTTCCAGTGCATCTGACTGTTTATTGTATACATTATTTTTGTTAATATAGTAATATTGGGAGACAAATTGTTAATAATGTTTAAAAAGTATTGTCTCCATATTGCCAGATATTGTTATACCATTAGTTCATCTATTAAGATAATAGGTAATAAAATCTACACTTTCAAATCAATGATGCTGTTTCTTTGTTGTCTTCTGATATTGCGAAGATTCTCTGACTAGACAAATGCTTTCAGCATGCGCATGTCCCCATGTTTCTAAGGTATGAAGTGTAAGAAACATGACCGAACTGATAACATATCGATTATGCTGAACTTGTTTGGGAATAGTGTGTTCAACATGGGACCTACTTTTATGAAATACAAGTCAAAGCTTAGTGCAATCTCTAATGATCCCTAGAACTTTAAATGTAATAACCAACGGTTAGATATTTGGTTTTAGCCTGAATAAACAGGCATAGGATTTTACTTAAGTATTTATACTTGCCTACATCTCAAACTGTTGGTGACATCTATGTAGTCTAACCACTAAGATTTTTTTTGATCAAATTGAGGATTTATTATAAATTCGAGATGGCAACTTCATTTCAGAAGCCTGTTTCATGTGGAAAGGATATGGAGATTATTGACAATCGTCCAAAACGTAGTAGGCTTCGTATGTGTAATTCAAGTTTCTCTTGTAAAACATATGCAACATGGAATCACTTTCATCGTATTGTGGAAAGGTTCGATAATATAGACACTCATTATTATAGCACTGTAGTACATTCTAGCTGGTCTCTTCAAAAACCTTCCTTTGAAGAGTTAGACTCTTAACGATTGACAAGTTGCATTTCAAATGGGGTTCGTTTCGGTCCTCGTTCTGCCTTTTTAATCTTTCCTGCGACTCGTGAGTATAGGGAAGTATCAAGAAGGAAGTAAGATACAGTAGCTTATATGGATTCTGCAGATGCTTGCTTTCAATTCAAATTAATCCTCTTGCTGTTGACGTACTGGGGGGCCTCGCTGATAAACTTGGCTTGAGAAAAACGTACTTGTTATGTTTTTATAACTTTCCATAAAGGGTATATTCTTTGTAATCTAATTATTAGCTGTGACATTTGGCCAACAGCAGCATTTCATTACAAAACCAATGTAAAATTCTTACCTAAAGAGCATCTGAGGTGCTTCTGTTTTGTTTTTTAGGGAAAAACGACCGAGCAGAGTACTATTGTGTTATACTTTATTTCACAAGCAAATCAAATACAAGTTCATGAAAGCTTACAATGAAATTCTGAAAAGGTACATACATTTTAAAATTTGTGGAAAATAAAATCCAATGTCTGACATACACATTCCGTCATCTTAGTGGTACGATCTGAAAATAAAGCTTCCTCCTATCATTCTAACTCGTTATCTCCTTCTTTAACTTTGACTATTTATTTAGATTCCTTACTAAACAGTACGACGTTGCAACATGTTATATTTCTATATTTATATGGCTTGCCAAATAAAAACATGACGTCCAGTGACGAAACAAGATCTGAGAGATAATATTTCAATTATTCAAAAGAATAGCATGCATTAATTCAAACAGTGAATATGGTAAAAGTTTTATATAACACATTTTACCGCAAACTTTATATTGATGGTAGGTGTAGAGAATGAGCATAGCTCTACTGTTAGGAACAAGCCAATGTGTTGGTTACAACTTACAAAAAATCTAGGTGAACAAATCGACAACAAATAAATAAAATCGCAAAAAAAATAAAAAGCGTAGAAGACACCACTTGAAGCTACAGGCGATAGAAACTGGAAAGGAATTATCGCAGCACATAAATATTGGAAGTCAAGATTTTCTAAATATCTAAAAGTTAAAAGCGGTAGAAAAATGATAAATATAGAGATGAAGATTTTTGGGAATAGTTTTCGGCAAATGTTATTGGCTGTATAGGTTAATCCAGAGACGCCTATAGCAATTTCATTTTACTTTCATGCGTGCAAGAATGTACAGCAATATCATTATAAATATTATTAAAATTAAAACTAACGCATTATCGACAATATTACATAGTATTAACATGATGGAAGTAATCATAATATTTAACTCTTTTTTTATTTGTGTAATTTCGCCTTTGTTTTTGGTCAAGGGGTTTATCGGGTGTTTTGTTCTTAGTTTTTTTTTTATCGTTGGTTCCTCCAACGGCAGCGACGTACTTCTGGTCGTTTTTTCTCTATTAAAAGAGTCATTTTGTTATCCGGATGCTGTGTTCACTGTTTCGGAACGTATCGCGCCGATATCAATGTTAAATTCAAATACATGATTCACTTAGTTCATTGTTTTACAGAATAGATACATATTACGATTCTTTTTATAAATAGGAACATATATATGTAAACATTAATATGAATTTCCAAGAACAGCTCATTAATACATCGTATACCAGGAGCAGCTCTTGTGCTTTCTAAACTCTAACTTTAATACGTAATGTTATCTCATTACTACAATATAATATAATATACTTTATATTTTCGCACTACACAAGTAGCTACTATGATTACATTACAATTATAATCCTGAGCGTGGTATGCCAGTTCTGGTGTTGCCTTACAAGTAAAATTGAATTCCTAGTTAAATCCATGTTCGAAGTTTGGAACATTAGATATACATTCATGTCAATATCCTTCGAATGGAAATTGATTTTTTTTTAAGTTCAAACTTGTTGCATTGATTTGATCGCTCGAAGAGCAATATATGTATAACATTAAGCAACTTTGGGGTTAACTTGCGGAGAAATTCTGAGAGTTCGTTTGAAACAATCTCTACAAATTGACCCTTACAACGTTAATTGAAGACAAACTCAAATATTTACATAAAGTGATCATTTAAATATTAATATGAATTGGAACGTATACTAAATATGTATTCAACCGTGCGACGTAATCTATACGTTATATACTAAATTATCACTGTAATGCGTTTGATTCAGACATCGACATTACCATACCAGTGTATGTGCAGCCTTTGTCTATAGGGATTTGTTATCGATAATCGTGCACGATTTAACCTTATTAAATACAAGTGAGATACAGTGTAGTACTATAATAAAACATGTATTAATACGGCTGAGGTTTAGAAATACAAATTAAAGTGGTAACCTATTTCTAATATATCTGACATTTGGTGTCAACACCTGAAAGAGCGATTGAATTTCGTTATTACTTTCCCAGTAACAAGTAAGTAGTACATGTACCTTCTCTGTAGTTGACATAAGAATGTCTGTAAAATTGTTTTATAAATTTAAAAAATCACAAATTGGTATGTTTTAGTATTATTCACAAGTACGACACAACTGTTATCGTTTTAGGAGGCATTATCGATGAAATGTTTAAGCGATATATTTTACACATTATACGCAGCAACTTTAATTGATATGAACATGAAGATTTAACTTGTTAATGCTAAGCAGATATATATCAAACCAGTAATTGCATCGATACAAATAAAGCACATGTGCAACACTTTTTTTATAGCAAACAGTGAATAACAATTGTTAGATTTTTTTCGGAAACACTCAATTGTTTTAGGGAACTGTATACATCAGACAAACACACATGGTATACTTAAAAGGCTGATTCCGTTTTTAACTCGTCGTCTTCATATTCCCAATTTCTTTTAAATTCTCCGTTCACATGTCACAGGAAAGTTATCAACATATATATATATATACATTTGTATATATATATATCTTATATAGGTCTGTGTTGTGTTGTCCTGATAACATAAATTAGCAGTTCCTCTGATGCAACCTCTAAAACGTTGAAAGAGCTAGGAAGATACCAAGAAACTCTGGTCATTTTTTATGTATGCATATATTATAGGACCCATAAGTAAAACGACAGTATTATCTAAAATTGGCACTGGATCCGAACAAACAAATGTTGGTTGGATGCGTAAAGACGTTATCACGACAGTGCAGACAAAGAAAAGTGTCACCTTTTCAGGGCGATCCGCCCCTTCATCAAGACACGAACATGAACATTTACATATCACAACATGTAACAGAGATAATTTAAACAGTCACCATGAAACAATATCACAATAAAAAATATATAAACAAAAATACAGTAGTCAATTATATGAAATATATGCTGTTGTAATTACATATCCCCTCGGTAAGTTTGTAGCCGAAGGCTAGTTACGTGAGGTAAAGTGAATTAATACAAAAAAACCTGAAAAAATAACTTCGAGAAACAGGTTGTATCTGTATAAATAAACAGATATAACAAAACACCGAAGACTTAATCTCGCTAGTGCTTTCGCCTATCTTGGGGATCATCAGGCCATATAAATAAAATAAAACACCGAAATGTTATCATACACCTAAAGAACTATTACAATCAAAACGTTAGTGCAAAATTTGACGTTTTCTTTTGTTATTTTTCGTCTTCAATTCGCAGCCTGGATTGGAGGAGCGATATCAAAACGTCAAATGAATATGCTATTGATGATGTAATACTGCTGCGCACGATTTCAAGAATAATGAAGTATCGCTAGCCGTACGTAATCGTTTAACAATGCAGATGCATTCGTCTGCAGCATTATCTACACCTTCTATAAAAAAAACAATGCTAATTTCATGACTCGCATTCAATTGATATATTAATATTTATAGAAATACAGTCTGTGGGTATCTAACGACCAATCTCCACCCTGATTATCAAAACAACGGTTACATTATTTTGTTTTGACAGGATAAACATATATAATATTACAAAGGCAGCACAATTTATCATCAAGAACAACAATCTGGAAAATCAGAAGTACCATTCAATACCTTCACCCCTGTGCATTTAGGTGATTTAGGCAACAGTGCTATTGCATTTGAGAAATATATTGAGTAATATGCGAGTTCTAAAATGGGATTTTCTATTTAATTTAAAGAAGCATGCACGCAACAGATTTGATATTCACATAAGAAATCATACACGACCATATCAACGGTTTTCAATTTGTTGACCGACAGCTTCAGATCTCGACTATATGTAAATCACATCTTCATTTGTAACACAAATTCTGTGATATACATATAGTCATTAAAGTTTTTTAAGGCAATGATTATATCAGTAGCAAAAATTGTTGAAATTTTAGTACAAAACAGCAATGTTGTCAATTACCATACAATAAATATTTACAATTTTGAAAGCATTAAATTAATGAGAACAAAAGGTGTATGGGTCCTGTTTCGCACACGTGTTAAACTTCAATAGTTTTATCGAAATATTTTCAAAGATTTGGAGAGTATGGACGAGTAGGTTTTACGTCTGAATCGGTGATGTGTCGATTCATTTTCACCTGCGAGCACCGTAACAGGTGGCAGAACACAGTTTAGCACGAAGTGGAACTTGAAAACGACAACGGAAGAAAGGATGCAATCATCGACAGGGAAATGGACAATATAATGATAAATCTGCAGGATGAAATTCGAAGATAACACCCATAGCAATGTGAGAGATAAAGCCAGCGAGGATGATAAAGATAATTGAACAGTGTGCGAATATTTAAACAAAATGATTACAAAACAAAGACCCCGCCCCCACATTAATTAAAACACAGCCAACAATTCCATATACAAAAACACAAAAACAATAAAACCGTTAAAAGATTCTAAACCCACATCCACCACTTGTTTATATTAACCTCATCCTCAACAATGACAACTACTCTAGTTATTATAACTGCTGCATACCACTGTCTGTATCGAGACGATTGTAATCAATATATCAATTAAAGGTCAACACGACAGCTCGTCGTGGTCGGACTAGTAACGTGTAAACACCTGACACTCATAGTGACTTACCAAAACATGTTGACGTACTGACACAAGCGTTGTCAGGTCCATTATTCTTTACATCACTATAAACTCTATCAAATATCATCGGAAAGCGTCACATGATAACAAACATAAACATTTCCATCCTCAACGATGTGCCTTTTTTGGTTCAATTATCAACAGTTTTAGTCTGTTGATAGCTATCGTATGTATACAAAATCAGACGTGCAAATTGATCTTTATAATACACTCACAGTGTATACCGACTTATCTGATTCATTATCTATATAGTGAAACTCTGAATACTCTGACATCCTGTAATAGCTGACATAAATTAATTATCACATTTCTTGTGACTCTACCAAATTAAACCCGGGTATTCGGACACATGGTCTAATCCAACCGATTTGTTGGATCCCAAGATGTTTCAACTAAACACATCATCTTACTATATATCTGTTGAAATAGATAACATTTGTTAATTCAGGCATGTTACATGTACATATATATGTACAACGCTCTCAAAAATGAATAGTTAACATATATCTACATGTTCAAGTAAAACAGAAATATTAATTTCGCTTGTGATATCTACATCTTAAATATATCTTTGTTAAAACAAACACAGTTTTGATAGTGGCCATTGCCTTTGCTATTCGTCATTGATACATATATACAAAATTTCTATTTACAACATCAGGTATGAGCATAATTTGGGCGTTTTCTCTTTGCCATTTCAATGAATATGCTATATGTTAATGCAAAGTCTACGCCTTTTGTAAACATATGCTTCCAGCAATCATTAGTGTAAAACTCTCACAGTTCAATGTTCATCAATTGTTTGAGTTCAAAAAGCAATGTATCATAAACATAATTATATCATATAATTTTTTTATGATTCTTTTTTACTAATGTATTACATAATGGTATGCTTTATTGGACACATAAAGGTGATAATTTCATATTTCATCAAAACCAATCAGTGAACCAGCATGATCTCGCAGTAACCCTATCTACACATGACTTACATACACCGTACTATTCATTCAAAGACATGTGTTACAAAATATATTCATTGTGCAAAAAAATAAAATAAAAAAATTAATTCTATCAAGTAACAACTAATAATTTAACATTGATGATTATGTTAAATATCTATTTACTCTATGTAACACCACGATAAAACGAGTGATTGACAGCTTAGCTTACAAATATGTACTTTGGAAATAATAAAATGGGTTGATATATCATACCGCTTTAATAAAATGCCAGTGCCATGGAAAATGTTTTGGGAAATGACCGATATACCAATGTTGTACAAAGTTATAAACACAAAATCTTTGCTATATACAAACCATCATTGCAATGTAAGCGTGCAGGCTTTTTATTCAATATATATATGTACAACTAACGTCACATATTAACAAAGTCCATTATAAGAATGCAAATGATAATGAGAACATGGGTGATAGTCTGAGATAATCGGACGTCAGCAGAAGGCAGGGGGATGCATATTTAGCCTGCGATGTTATTTATATTCTGAACATCTTGTTTCAATATTCATCCCATTTATCGAAAACAAGTGTGAGGTCAGATTTGGATACTTAATCTTTGTCATTTTCTTTGGAGTCGACGAATACAAAAGCAAAAGCGTGATAGCCTCGCCTCTTCCCAATTGTAATGTTAAATGTTGATGGGCGTTATATGTATATACATTTGTAAAACTCACAGTTAACGTGCAGCTGATGAACAAAAGTACTTGTCTTAAATGAACTTAAAAGCAATGGACAAATGACAAAAACTAAACATCAAAATCCGGTTAACCTCACCAAACACGTTTTTAGGTCAAATTATCTCAGGGAAGTCGTTATAAATATTTATACATATTCTAACACAGAACTATATAATCTACAGCATTGGCATATCTATCAACACTGTGAAGCCTACATCCGAATCAAAATCGACAACAATACTGTTACAGTCTGACCATACAGGTGTTTTGTAATATCACAAAGCATTTGTCCACGTTTTCAAAGTAAATGTTTGTTTGTTTCACGCATTTTAACAGTGATAGGTATATACAATATCCTCACGTTTTACGTTAAATAGGTTTTTACGGAGCCCCGTACTATCTGTCGGCATATTGGACATTTGACCATTGCAGGGGCACATTCAGCGCAGCAACAAAGATGACCACACGGAAGAAATGATATACAAACAAAGTTATCCATGCATATCTTACATTTCATCTGTTCCTTGAGTTGACTGTTTTCCTCCTGGATGGACTTCAGTTCTGACGAAAATAAAATAAAATTCGACTCATCAGGAAGATGTTACTGCATCTAATATGATCCGTACATGAATCAGTACGTTGATACCATAATCTCAATAAAATGCAGTCTTACCATTGACCTAAAATAGTGTCAAACGTTATTAGCTGATAACTCATAATACGTTTTGTTATGAGTACTGCTATTATTCCGATTATTGTATGCAGTATTATCACATCATAAGAGACAAGTGGCAGTTTATCATTCGAGAAACTAACGTCCATTATACATGTCATTTGTGGCTTCATACCTGTTATTATCACCATAACAAGACATTTTAAAAACTTGGTCAAACATTGCAGTTATATTAAACGGCAAATCATGAACACAAATGGACGCTCAAAATGGATGCTCACTGCTTCACCAGGTTCGTTATCATACGGCAGGAATATGTTTTATAAAATGTTCGAATGACATACTAGAGAAATATCAAATTAGCCAACCGAACAGAAAGCACGAAAGTGGGGTATTATGAGAGGATTGTTATCATATAAGTATGAGTATTACCTTCTTCCGTGTATGAATGAGCTGGCTTGTCTCCTAAAAAAAAAAAAAAAAAAAAAAAAACCACTTTAAAAAAGTAAATAATCCAATTGTCATATTAAGACTCTAGTCAAGTGTCCTTTGTGGTGGTCATCGCAAAGAAGGTGCTTTCGTAAATTAGCACCTCTATAACGCCATATACAAATATTTTCCATGTATGTAAACTTTATCAAAGTTGGAGAAATACGGTAGCTAATCGAGGTACTGAACATTTTCTTCACACATTATTTACCTAACATATAGCTTACAAGCATGAGAATGTACCTCTTAGTTTGTTTCTAGGGATAAGGTGTTGAGACGCTGATGCTGTTGCTGCTGCCTGTGGTTCTTCTATCTTGTTTTCTGCATTGTTGGTTTCTCTCTTGAGCACGAAGGAGCCTCCTTCTTCTGTCTTCAGTCCTTCGGCATTGTGAGAACTCGTTTGTGTCTGGTCAGGGGTCTCGGGAGGTATGTCCTCAAACCCGAATATTATTTCCAACAGCGCAAATGCAGTTAATTCTACTGGAACTTTTACAAGAGAAATGATAATAGTCAATATTGTTTTCAATATGATCGGTAAAATATAATTGCAAAACAGATTTACTGACACTGTTCAGATATCGAAACTAGTTACGATAGATTTTTAAAGATGAAATGATATCATACATACTACATCAAATTCAATTAAATTGTCGTTATAATGAAATCATTAGTGATACATGTTTAGTTTTGATTTGAATGAAAAAAAGGTCATGTCATTGCATTCACAATGTCAAAGGTATCAATAAGATCTCTTCGTTGTTCAAAAGATTTTTAAAGATGTAATGATATCATACATACTACATCAAATTCAATTAAATTGTCGTTATAATGAAATCATTAGTGATACATGTTTAGTTTTGATTTGAATGAAAAAAAGGTCATGTCATTGCATTCACAATGTCAAAGGTATCAATAAGATCTCTTCGTTGTTCAAAAGAAAGTATATCTTATTTATCTATCTTGAAGACAAGGGTCTCTTAAGGAAAAAAATTACATGTCAAATGTTAAAAACATCCGTTTTGTCAATACTGAATATGCATGGTGTATTTAATAAAACAAAGAATGAAAAACAACGTTTTTATTGAACAAGTATCCTCTTACTTGGCACTTGAGTTGGTTGGTCAGAATCAACTGTTAGCAAAACATTTTTTTACGCTGACATTGACTTTGCAACTATTGAATGATCCACAGTCAACAAATTAACAGTGGGATAACAGCGTTGCCAGAATATGTACTGCCATGCTTAAACAAAACCTGGGAATGCATTAAGACATATTTACCATGAGTGTTCCGTAGATGTTGGATGGCAGTTTGGATAATCCGGTCGCCGTAGCCCATATTTTTGACACTGAGAACAGCAGGGGAATTCATTTCATCTGCAGAGGCTAGAATGCACGGAAACACAGCTATAGTATTCAGTATACACAAATATCAGCAATGATTTCAATAGGATGTCAGATGTTTTCTTTGATCAATTAAAAAATCACGATAACTTACATGTCGACGTATAAGTATCAATTTTGGGATAAATTGCTTTTAAAATTGCTTTTCACTTAGAAATGTTATTCATGAATAGACTTCCTAGGATAAAATTCATCAGCAAAACTGTTTCCAAAAATTATGTTTTTCACTTCAGTACAGCTAAATATTTAAGGTTTGCAAATGGCGTTAACAATTACATGCAAGAGTTTATAAATGCATGCATAATATGAAAAAAGGCTGCAGTTCAGACTCTCACTAAAATTAAGATGACACCTTTAAAGGCAGTTGCGAAAATAGAAATCAAGTTGAAATGAAGATGTGTGGGTTTCTCATGTACCATAAAAATTTGAAATACTAACATAATACAAAGTTCAACACATACCAACAAAATGTTATATTAATGTTTTTGGTGGTGCAGAAACCATGTCATTTTACTTATTTAGAAAACCTTAAATACGAAGAGGAAAGGGCACTTTCGAAACTCGAAATTTTGTATTGGGATTCAATAATAGAAATAATTGGGTTCATGAGAATCTTTAAAACATATATCTTTATAGCTATAGCACATGCATGAATTTCATAGCTGCGACACAATCGTATCAATTTTATAAATACTTTAAATTTAAATGAATTTATTCAATAATTGCAATCACGACCGTTCAAAGCATGCAGTATCATTATAGCTTTGTATGATGATTTTCCATGAAAACAGGACAGGAGTAAATACTATAACAATAGCTTACCAGCCGTTTGTGTAACCACCTGATCCGCCTTTCGTGCTGGCGGACTAGATACGGAGGCTGTGCTGTTTTGTGTGTTCGCTAGTGTATTGGTGCTTGTACCAGTCTGTGTATTGGACCTGATCTGTGCGTTACTAGCACTAGATTGTTTATCAGTGTTGGCCTGTATCCTGGCCGTCTGGTCCTGAGAGTTCGCATTGGAATCTATGCTTGATGCCTCTCTTGTTGTGTTTATGTATTCATTTGGCAATGTCTAAATCAGGAAAAGCAATAATAGTACATGCTCGACGTATATCAATTTGATACCATGCATATTTATTAAGAATATGGTTTCTTCAAAATATTGAGATGTCTTGAAAAATAAATGGAGAACATCACTCGTGTTCATATAGCAACAATGAAACAAACTATACATCTACATCAAGTAAGATAATATCACAAACCATGTCATTGTATCAAAGTGAAATAAATCTTAATGGTTTGGAACATTTATTTGTACAGAATGCTCCATACACCTTGATTCTGATATTTCCTCAACAACTTGCTAAAATAATTCAATGAATTCTGGAAAATAAATTAATCTAATTGAAAAGTAAAACAAATGCTGAAATCGATGGCCTGGCAAGATTTTGCTCAGCTTGCGCTTGCCTATCTACACAGTCAAACATGTATTCACATGAGGAATATCTCATTTCAATACAGAACAAGTGGCAATGGTATAGTGAAATAAGCATTGTACAATTAGTATCTCACCAGTTCTCTTTGCCTCTGAAGTACCAGGTTGATGAAAGTTTGACCTCTGTTTTGTTTGACGTGAGTACAGCGAGGAAACCAGCGGGCATGCTCCACCCAGGGGTCATCACCAGCCTCCCAATTCCTAAGTCCGCCTCCACAGAAGAAGCATCTGACATAATCTCCATATCCTGAAATAGCGAAACATAGTGGTGGTATTGTACATGTATCATTTTGTGTGTATAGATAAATACAACTCTATATAAGGTCAGAGTTTAGTGTGTAACAATGCAAAATCGCAAGGCGTTCTTACATACAAAACTGGGTAATTGTAACTGTTAAACTTTATAAAATATGCCTCGGATTTTTTTGTTTTTCAAAGTGACAAAATGGTCATGACTCAGTTTACAGTAGCACGCTGGACATAGTTTCAAAAGGCAACTGTCCGCCATCTTAAGAGGTAAATATGTGCAAATTAATCAGTTGTAGTCATAGAGGTTACACAACGAGTGGTTGTTGAATATGGTATTTATTTCACTCGAGTTAGTTAATTTTCAAAAGTTACAAAAAAACACGAGCTTTAGCGAGTATCTTTCTGTAACTTTTGAAAACTAACTAACGAGAGTGAAATAAATACCATACTCAACAACCACGAGTCGTGTAATCTGTTTCTACCACAATCTCATGATCAGGCGGAAATAACATACACACATGTGTTTGTTGACAAGACTGGCGTAGTGATATGACCCATATGTAAAAAGCCACTATTCAAAAATTACTTTTGTTTTTACAAATTTAATTATTGTCAAAATTAATGTTTCGGCAACAACTTCATGAAAAAATAAAATAGATGAACGACTTTAGATATTGAGAGTAGCAGTATTGCATTAATTTATATAAATTAACCACGGAATATATGCGCGTAAGCATATCGTACTAAGTCTGCCTCCCGCCAAGTGATGAACTCACCGTAACTCACCGTTGTAGACGAACTTATCGCTGTCAATATCCAAAACCATAGGCCTACGTTTCTTCGTGACGGTTCTATGGTTGACGTTTATAGTGAAAGTTCAGCCATAGTCAGACCGTCTAAATAGCGATAACGGGACGTTGGGAGAACGAAATATTTCCCGACACTGTGACAGATCTTGTTTTGGTTTCACGACCTGGACACGCGACGGTGTGACGTCGAAACGATATCGAGTGTCTGTAGCAATTTTGCCTGAAACTAGCGATCAAATCTTTAAGTATCATCTTTTAATATTGCCTTAATAACACAGGGTTCCGCATAACCTCACAAAATCACCAACATTTGTCGGATGTTGACAACCAACGACGTAAACAAAACAGCAGGGGTGGCAAAAAGCACGTGGAAAAAGTCTTCCCGGTCAAAGTTCATCTTCTCGACCAATCAAAACCCTCGAAGGTCATATAACTCATATTTATTTAACAGTTTGCTTGTTTATACAATGATCTGAGAGTGGAATAACACAGCGTATTGTGGTAGAAACCAGATTACACCATGTATTGTCTGATCGAAGTGATCATGAACAAAGGGCCATTTATTGGTAGAGAACAAGAAATAACTAAAGCACGCGACATTCTGTAATCCCAGTATAACTAAAGCACGTGACACTCTGTAATCCCAATACGTTCTGACATGTAAAATTTGATACTTGTAGGTGATGGGGTTCATAACATATGTCGCGGACAGTGACACACTGACAGACTGAGGGACGGAGTGCAGTGACATCCGCTATTACATGTAGAGAGCTCATATCAAACCTGTTTGAATAACATCAGTATAACCCTTTCTACTGACGGGAAAAACAATGGTTTCAACAACGAAGCATAGGCAGCAGCTACGTAAAAATATTTCAAGTGAATCCTCCCATACAGATTGGCAAATGATATACCTTCACATTTAATTTCAACCTGGTGTTATCTCTAAATATAATATACCCTTTTGTACGACCTTTAAGTAATATGCGTCCGCTCTATCTGCAGTAATTAATCAATTGCTCAGTACACATTTTGTAAATTACATAACAAATTGCAAATCACAATTTGCTTTAACGTAGGATTAACCATTTTACAATTTTGCTATTAACATTTTCTAACAAAAATCAAGCTTTAAAATGATTTTACAAACCTGCATAAAAGAATCCCGCCCTGGCCATCTGTAAGGGTGTCTGATCCAAATGGTTCGGAAATCCATTGAAGGTACCTGACCTTACCGCCAGAACTGCGTAGTTAGGATATCGGGGCTTAGCTGTAGTAACTACCAGATTGTTAAGGTTTCTTGCAGCACCGTTCGCTATCGCCGGACCGGCTTGCCCTTGTTCTGGTTGCTGCTGTTCGCGTTGATCTTGTTGTTCTAGACGTTGCTGCTGACGCTGAGCAAATGTTGTTGGATGCTGCTGATTCATTGACTGCGGCTGATTACAGGTTTGATCAGTCAGTGCTTGGTTACCAGTAGGAGCAGTGACTACTTGGTTAGATGTTGGTGAGGCGTTAGGGCCAGTCAGTAATCGGTTGGCTGCCGGAGTAGCGGTATTAGAAGTAGCTGTATGAGGTCCCAAGGCGGTATGGGAGGTTGTGGATGCATGCGTTTGTAGACAAGGTGGTTGCGAGGCTGATGGGGTCTGACTTGGTCTCGACATTGTCATTGTACTTTCTTGAGACACTGCTGCTGCTCGGGAGACGGAAGCACCGCCGGATGGTGCCTCTGCCTGAAATCCTGTAAGAGAAAAGTTGGATCCCCCACCACATTCCGCGCTGTTTCTCGTTTCCATTGGATGATTGCCGACTTGCGATCTATCATTGTTTTCAGTTTGATTCATTTGCACTAACGGTAATGGCTGTTCTCTTTGTGGGGCTATCACCTGGTTTGCTGGATCTTGTCCGATAAATAACGATGTAACGGTCTCTGGTGTTGAAAGCTTCGATCTCATTTCAATTTCCGCTGCGCTTCCTACCAAAGCACCATCTATTAAAAGTATTGGTTTATATGTTAGCTCATTATATAATACTAATATACAACATTTATATAGCGCCCTATGTAATTTGTAAAATTACTCTAAAGCGCTTTACAGCATATGGATTATAGTAATGGTTATAATTGTGAAAACAAAAAACAAAGGCTTACAATCACTTTTATACATTTAAGCAAGCAATGTGCACATAATTGAACAAATAAAAGGGTGGTATTGACATGACGTCTTTGCAAAGATTCTAAAATGCAGACGTGAGGAGGTGAGTTTTGATTTCCCTCTTGAACTTGGCCAGGGTATTTGACTTTCTAATAGCAGATGGTAAGCTATTCCACAACGTAGCCGAAACCCTCCTAAAGCATCTGTTTCCGTAGGTCACAGTACGAGATTTTGAGACACACAACAAAGATTCTGACTCCGACAGCAGTGATCGGGACGGCTGATACAGGGTAACAATCACCTGTAGGTACTGAGGAGCTGTTCCATTCAGTGCCTTGTATGTGTTCACCAGAATTTTGTACTGCGACCTGCATCGTACAGGTAACCAGTGCAACGAATAAAGCACAGGTGTAATGTCCTATTATGTAGGATTGTGAAGAGCTGGTTACCTAAATTTAGCACACTCTTTAAATAAATGTACCTGTTTATACAGCGATACTAAAATAAGAACTCTATTATTTTGTATATCGTAAGGTTTTGATTATAATCAAAATAAATATTTGCAAAAGCAATATCCATTCACGGGACTACGGAAAGCTATTTTATATTTGCATGGGGTACACATATAAGAAATGAGAAAAGTCAACTGAGGTCGGAATAATTAAATCACCAGCAATACAGCTGAATCATTTCCAAATAGCATAATAACACAGGTTTAGTGGACATTAATGGTTCAACAAATGGTTTCAGTAAATCATAGGATAAAAACAGTTTGACAATTGTTAGAGGGCTATAGACTTTAAATATAAACAGGACATGTAACGTGACAAGCAAATATTTATTCACCTCTTCCACCTGCTCTGCGGCTCAGACAGGACAGGGGTCCATGAATAGGTACATTTCCTACGTCCTCTCCGTTCATGAAGCTGAAAATAAGACGTCTTATTAAACAAGATATCATGTTCATCACTCACGATTATCATAGTTTAAGTAGATAATAATGATAACTTAACGTCTTAAAGTTCTTTCATTGTTCTATTTGTCTGTTATTGCATAATTTTGCATTAAGCCCCATTCTCATCCTCATAAAATGCTGTCCTCCTTCTTCTTACTCAGTTTTACTTTTTTGCACAACAAATGCATGCAAATATGTCTATTGATTAACTTACCGACATCGACTTGACATCTGGTAATGCACTGCGTACACAGAATCTCCCCTGTTCCAGTTGGAATGGGAAACATTGCAGCTAAAACAAACAACTTCATCTCTGTTGCCAGTGTAGTAGAATCCATATTTGGCCAATAAAGTGGGCAATGCAGGACAGTCCATGGGGAATGACCAGAACGACTTAAACCTCCCCCATTCAAAGCGCATAGACTCGGTAACAGAACTCATACATATTGTGTAGAATGCATCGCTTGTGATTTCGCTGTCATGTGATCTACGACCTGCATCAGAATATTCTATTGCTCCTGCGTTCCGATCTTCATAATTGTCTGTTTCGACATTTGGTGAACGATTAAACGTCTGATCTTCGTTTCTGTCAGGCTGATGAAACGGCATCACAATATTCCACAAGCTCGATAAATCCTGCGTGATGAATGTTGCAGCTCGTAACCTTCGGATTGAGAATTGGTTGTGTCTGATGAAATGATTTCTCACAAAGGAGGTAATCAGAACATTTCTTTCATAAAAAGTCGGGATTACTGTCTTTTTCCTGTTTAAGGGAAGGCTCAAATTGGTAGTAGATCTGACACGGATTCCCAGTTCCTTGCTAACGTCATAACTATGCATTGGGATAGCATCGTTTCCTTGTCCATTGATATTATGTGATTCCTGCGAATTGCAATAGTTTGAAATGGTATCAAGTGTTTTAGCAGGATGTTTTTCGTCCTCTTCTGATTCGAAAAAACAGGAAACGTATTCGCTCATTTCTATCATCCTATCTTCACCAGAATGTTGTCCTTGGCATATCTTGTCTGGTATTTCATCTGATGTGGTGATTGATGAGCTGCTAAAACTGTCAGAGATACCAATGGTTTCAGAAGTGCAGCATTCATTGATCTCTGTTACAGATTCATCTAAGCTTTCTTCGTCGGATTCATCAGGCTCGTTGTAAAGTAAGCTATTGTCAAGATAATCAAATTCGTTCGTGGAGTTGACAAAGACTGTTTTCACCATTGTTTCTTCTTTCGAATCGTCGTAACAATCAGTGGTATTTTCGTTTTGATTGTCGGCACTTGAGATGCTTGCTGATATTGTGTTGATAACTGATACCTCCTCTGTGATGTTTTGATGGACAATTGCCATATTTGCATCCATTCCAATACTATCGTGAAACGGACATGCTCCAATAAAAGGTTGGATATCAGAGTTACTAGTTGTGTTACTTGTGGATGCAGGAATCCCTTTTATATCTTTCGACCCTAGTCCACGGTCGTATATGCCTTCACTTGATTTCCTGTTGAAATTAATGTTATCTGCTTCTTTGCATAATCCTTCGATATCGTTCGTTTTATTGGCATCATATGAAGAATGGTCACGAGGTTCCCGTCTATGCTCAGTTTCAATACTTGTGTCGAGTTCTCTTGCAGTCTCATTTAAAATTATTCCACTGGATTCTTTTTGTTCGTGGATTTCGTCTCTAGTTCCAGTTTCTGATGTTCCACATTTGTCGTTTGTTAGTGTAGTTTCTTTAGCAGTTCCACGGAGATGTACCTCTGTTTGTGTTTGTACATCAAATACACTTTCTTTTTCTTTACGTCCACTGTCCGTTATTCTGAGAGGTTCTTCTATCAGTCTAGTGTCCGCTGGTTTGTAGGATTTCTCTGAATGTTCAGTGTTAGTTGTTCTGAAGCATGCTCCAGCATGTTCATCTTCAATAGTTCTGTAGTGTTTTCCAGTTGCACTTCTGTTGATTTCCTCATTTTCTCCATAATCAGCTGTTCCATAAAATGATTCTACATTTCCGGTGTCAGCAGTACCGTTACATTTTACTGTACTTTCCGTGTCTTCTTTTTCTTGACATTTTTCTGTGTTTCCAGTGTCATGTGCTCCGTGACAGTTTAATATGTTTCCGGAGTCAATTGCTCCTTGACATTTTATTGTTATTTCGTTGTCAGCTGTTCGGTGGCATTTTTCTGTATTCCAAGAAGCTGTTGCACCGTTACAATTTTCTGTTTCTCCAGAATGAGTTTTTTCGTTGCAGTTTTCGTTATCTTTCACGTCAGTAGTTCCGGAAGGTTTTATGTTATTTTCGTCTTCAGTTGTTCCGTCTTGCTTTACTGTGTTTCCGTTGTCAGCTGCTCTGTGACATTTTGCTGTAGTCCAAGCAGCAGATGCACCATGACATTTATCTGTTTCTCCAGAATGTTTTTTTTCGTTGCAGTTCTCATTAGCTCCGACATCAGTAATTCCAGGATGTTTTACTGTATTTTCGTCGTCAGTAGTTCCGTGAGGTTTAATTTTATTTTCGTCTTCAGTAGTTCCGTTTTGTTTTACTGTATTTTTGTCGTCAGCTGTTCCTATATCAGTTGTTCTTCGCTGTTTAACTCCATTTTTGTCGCCTGTTGCATTGGATTTATCAGCATTTCTTTTGTCTGAGTTTTCCTTGCATTTTTCTTGATTATCAATTACAAATCCTGTATATCCAGTTTCATTTCTTTCGGGAAAGTCTTCAGTTGGTTTCGTGTGATTTGTCAAATAGGAGTCTCCTGTATATCCAGTGTCCCTTCCTCGCAGCGTTTCTTCTTTATGTCTTGCAAGACTTGTTTCGTTGACGTCTTCAGCAATAATACCAGTTGTAAAGTTAAGTTCTTCATGTCCTGTTTGTCCGAAATAAGACCATTGATAATTTTCAGCATAATCCGTGTCCGTTGTTTCAAGCTTTTCTTTTTTATGTCTAGTATACTTTATTGCGTGTTTTTCTGCATGTCTTATTTCATTTGTTACGATACTTTTTTCTGTATGTCTAGTATCGGATACCGAGTCTTCCTTGTGAATAGTTTTAATTTTTGAAATTGATTCTCTTGTGTATTGAGTTTTTGGCCCTAGAGTTGATTCTCCCACATTCAAAGCTTCATTTGGTGTTTCTCCAGAAGAAAGACGTTTAGCTCTTGATTCTCCAATGAGAGAATTTTCAATTGTTTCTTCTGATTTTCCTATAGGAAAAGTTTCAGCGATTTCGGGATAGATCTCTTCAAGAAGCGATTCCTCTACAGGAATAGTCAAAGATGGTGACTTCCCTTCAAGAAATTCATCATTTTTAATTGTTTGAATAACATGTGATCCATTGGATTCGCGAGCATCAAGGGTTCCACTCTGAAATCAAAATGAATAATAGAATCTATAAAATGTTAATATGTTTGTTGCTTTAAGCTGATAGCATATAAATGAAAATATGCTTTAGAATTTGCCACTGCAAAATGAACAGATGGTGAGCTTGTCATTTAAGCATTTGAAATAAAACACATCTTTTCAACAGAAGCAAACCGTGTGTTAAATTATAGCACTTAGGTTTAAAGAATCACATCTTTTGTATAATGAGCTGATTTTTATGATGCATCTTTCAACAAAACCAAAACCACAATAATACCATTCTCCCTACTTAGTTTTCGATAGGCTCCTGTAACATATCAAGTGTATTGCTACTGGTATCAAACTAACAAAGAAAGTATTTATCATTGTTCAACAAGGACTTATTAGTTAAAAGGGCCGATAAGGATCACAGATCTAGGAATGAGTGAAGAAGAGATTTCAATGGAAAACGACATGGAATTTAAAACAAAAACACACAAAAAACCACCAAAGTTTCATAATGGCAGAGAAATATATGCTTCCATCCATCTTTTATAAGTATATGTACCATGTCTAGTTAAGTACACAGAAATATTGGTGGAATTAAAGCTGTTTTGCCAATGAATATTGATCCCTAACCACCTCCAAATGTGGAACATGCTTTATTTTTAATATATGCAATAAATGTAAGCCGTCTGGTATGACTCAGAAACTAAGTCACAAGGAATGAGGCTGATCACTGGGTAAACCGTTGTTGCACGATTGTGTTCGTCTTGTCATTACTCAGCAACTATTGATATGTTATGAAAATTCCTAATCGTGTGTCTGTACATTTGGTTTACTCATAGAAGCATGGTTATGATTCAATTGTCTGGACGTGAAGAGAGATAATCTTACGGGGCAAACTATGTGGAGACCCACTGCAGAAATTGGTATTGTCTTTGTGACCTCTACTTTGGAACAATAATGCAACCAAAATTAATCATCTGCAATCATTGCAACACTTGTAATCCATTGATTTTCTCTCCTTTGTAACTAATTTTTCGTTTTTAATGTATTTGTGGAAATATATGTACCTTGCTTTTATTTTTCGTGTTGAGCTTTCACTTAAGTGGCGAAGGTTAAATGTATATGTTTTGTCCTCTGATCGAGACAAACCAAGATCCTTTCAATTGAGAATTAAATACTCTCTACCCTATTTTCATACGAACTAAATTTTATTCAAAATATGACCATCTTGATCTAGTGATATTGTAAACCTGATATATTTGCATCCCAGCAAAGCTGTTTTATAAAATCTAATATGTGTTAGTTATTTGCCCCCAGGAGGTGAGGTACACCTGATTGTATGTCTTTAACACGGTTGATTAAGATCAAACATGTACACTTGTATATGATTCCTTTGTCAAAGGGAGACACATTTTAAAGGTTTTCCTTTTTTCTCCAAAACTGAGAAATTCTGAATAGCTTACCGTAAAATGATCTCTAACATGTTTTACAAGTACAAATAAAACAAATAAACCCAAAGAGACCCCCACAACCAAAACCAAAGCTCTTGTAATGTGTTGGTCCTTAACAGCACATCTGAAAAAAGAAACACACAATGTGTAGACGCTCTTATAAAATCTAACTTGAGCACAGTGGAAACAAAATACGATGAAAATCAATTTTCAGACATCCTAAAATATACATATACGATATATAGAAAGTATTGAATGGTGTGTTAAAATTTGAACGCAAAAGTTTATTTTTTGTTTCCGATATATCTTTTCAATTATTTGGCATCGTCGGTTTCGGCTCTCCGCTTTAGTTATGCTGATTGTCGCCCTTGTTGAATAAAAACAAACACCAAACATCAATAGAAGGAATGCAATAAGTGGAGCTATATATATCACGTTGAACCCGCCGCGGGACGAGGTTTTTTTTACGTTTAGCACTCGACTAAGCCTCCTGACAATCTTAATACACTTTCTCCACAGTTTGATAAAGGTTGCGCTTTATATAGTAATAATCTAAATATGAAATGGTGAATTTTCACAATAAAGACGCTGGAGAGAATTTATTTCCTAAACAAGTTAACACAAGATCATCTTTCCCCGAAGAAAACGGAATTGTACTCCGAAATGATAAGGGAACTTTTTACTCTTTTGTTTGTTTTTCCTTCCAGTTGCATATTGCTTAACAAACAATATTAATATTTCGTTTAGGTGTTGCTAGTATTGTTGCAAAAAAACGTATTGTGTAATGCAATGGGGTATTCCAAATGAAGAGATTTGCAATGCGGCAATTAGGAAAAGCAAAAATATTTAAAACAAAAGTGTTTTGATTTACTTATTACTTTGAAACATACCTGGAACGTTTTCTATGATGTTTTATGGCGCCATAAGTCCACTGGATTATTAAGAATAACACAAACACAGCCGGTATTTTTGATTGCTCGTGTACCTGTAAAACGTAAAAGTTGCTTGTTTAGTTTACACATACATAATTTTATATTCATTCCTAATATAGGCTAAGCTATCTTTATTTATTAAACATTATTTATTTTATTTCGCTACGTCTTTTGACCATTGAGGTCGCGGTTTCGGAGAACAGGATCAAGGTAAGCGGACAAAGGAGTTAAATATATCCCCGATTACTTAGCTCTAATGATATTTCAAATCAACTATAATTATAACCCACTAGATGGCCGTGTTGCGCTGTGGATAGTGCACTTGCCTTTCACGCGACTGAATGTGAAAAGGTATGAGGTAACCTGCCCGACCACTAGGGCTTTCTGAATCGGTTTCCTCCCACATTCAAACCCCCTGCGTGGTACTATCCGGCCAATAAGAGTGATTCATATAACTTGTTTAAAACTGTTGCAAAAAGAAATAAAAATTGATTTTTTAAACCACTGCAGCTGTTTTGAAAAATAAATTCAGTCATTGGGCGAGGTATGACTTCTGTGTATAGAACATCAAAACCCTTGACCTACGAATACTCTAAATCAAACATGGTTAAAAATCCTTTGTTCTTACTAAGGAGACAATATTTAAAGTTTTACTTTATCCCCCCCAAATCGGACCCAACGCTGCTGTCCCCAGCAAAACAAGATAAGAAACATCTTTAAACAGCTTACCGTTGATTCATGTCTAAGCTGCAATACACGAATTGTTAAAATCAAACAGATCAACAAATCAAGAACCCGCGAATAGTGATGGTCTCCAACAGCACCACTGAAAAAATAATATACAAATGTTTACCTCCATCTAGAAATGCTTGTACGTTTTTATCATATATAACTTGTACAAAGTTATACCTATATGATGAATTGAAGTGAAGTTTTGTTTTCACTTTCAGACATACTCAAGTCCGGATAGGATATTCATGTTTAGGTTGTAATATGAACGCATATATCTATAATGGTGTTTGCAAGGAATAAGTACGTTTTGGCTCCTGGCTTTGTTTATGCTGAATTTCCCCCGGGTTTGAATGAAAAAAGCATACAAGTACTATTAGAGAAATATATAAAGTCAAACCCTCGCGTTAAGATTTTCGGTATCATTTACTCGGTGAATTCTTCTGAAATTTTCATTGGCTTTAGATGTCTTCTTCACACAGGAGTGATTGATAAAAGTTTCTTCTACATTTGGCTGTACGTTCAGTTGCATCGGTGAACCCAATGCACCTCACCGTGAAGTATACAAAACTAATGACGCGATCCTATTGTTTCAATAATATTAACGCTTTACAAAGTAATGACGTTACAATATTATGAAGTGGTGACATTTTCAAAAGAAAGGCGCGTGTGAGTCATGTAGTTAAAACATTTTATTTTCTCTAGAAAAACTGAAATATCTTAAGAAGTCTGGATAACAATATACCTTCAGCATTTTTCCTTGTAGCTTTGAACTTTCGGCCATAAGCTTAATAATAAAAGTGACCAAATTTTATATAAGTTTGTTCCTGTTTAATGAAATTTTAAAATCAATATTTTGAGATGGAAAAGTTAAGATACTTATCATATTTTATGCAATGTAATATTCCAGAAAAAGAAATTTGCCAATCAGTTAACAGAAAAAACGAACACTAACATCAGAATTTCAGAATCTTATTTTTTGTTTACTTTGAAACATACCTTGAATTTTCTTTATCGTGTCTTTCCGTGCTATTCGTCCAATTGGTGAATAAACACAACATAGTTAGTATTGTTGATTGTACCTGTAAATAGACACAAATGCTATTTTAGTTCACATATGATAAAATATGAGTTTGGTGATTTAGTATTTGATACTATTATACGTATCTTTTCACCGTTAAAGATGAGGTTTTGGAGAGGATAATCAAGGTATGACAGAAAAAAAGTTAACTTTACCTTTTTTTTTACCAAATTATCGTCATGTCTGCGTCGTTTGACAGATCTGTATCACCTTTCATCATTGTTTAAATCGAAATGGCTGTATGTATGCACTTTAAGAATACTTCGGAATTATATGTTGGTGGCCTTTTCAGGTAGTAAGAATTTTGGATTCATGAATCATCTACAGCTAGTTAAGGTCTGGTGTCTTAGAACCAAAGAAAGGTTAGTGAAACGTCCCCAAAAACTGACATGCATGCGTTACGTCGCGACGTCGACATTTCTCGAACTTCCGTTGCACTTTTCAAACTACGACACAGACGGCAGGTCAAGACAAAGGCACCCGATGGTTAACATGTGTCCATAAACGTAAGTTATTGTTTTTAAATTGTAATTTCAATTTACCACATAACATTACTTTGTCGCTGGTTGCGAGAGTTTAATTTACATTTGTAACTTCAATATGAACATTTAGGGCCACAGCTAATACCCAGTCCACGCCAATGTTAACTGCAATGGCAGCGTACACATTCACCTAATCGACTCTACTTGCCCCATGGGAAACGAGTATTGTTTATTGACGATTCTCGGTTCATGTTTTAAATGTCAGATTGACGAAAATGTGTCTATTGACGTGTTAACGAGAATTGTTCGTATGCTTGAGTAAAAATTCGACACATTCTTGGTATTGTGTTATTCTTTGAGGGAAAGGGTTTCATGACGGGGAAACTCTTCTATCGGTCACTCCAGGCAATCTTACTGTCGTATTACTTGTATTTCGAGATTCAGTTCTGAACCGCACATCGTTCTTTTTTAGCAGTTGGTGTCACTTCCTTAATCAAACCATGTAAAGGTCTCACGAGTCCATCGCAAGTCTCGGTTTGTTCCCGAGGGAGCATTTGCTGACGAGAGGAACATGAACCGCTCTTACACATCACAAACAACGTCGCTCAACCGTCGAAGATTCCCTGGTTCTGATGTCGTTAATAGAGGTGACATTATACACTTATTGCCCTGGTGTGAGTGAGAACTGAAGAGTGGTTTTCCCCGAGATAAATCATGTTTCCCGAGGGCGAAGCCCAAGGGAAACATGATTTGTCGAGGGGAACAAGTCTTTAGGTCTCCCTTGCACCAGGGCAATAACTGTTTTATTATTCCAAAATTCCATCTTTTGAGTCTTTGTTATAAATACATCAACATTAGGCAATGTAACGAGCTCTTGTGATGTCACTCTGACTGTCTTGTTCGGCCTTAATTCATTAGGTCTGGTAGCATATATATGCTACAAATACCTATCACTGTCAGTGTTTTGATTTTATATCAAATTAAACAACAATAACAGTCCTTTAAAATCTTCAGCTTTTGGAAGGTGGAATCTCTCATTCGCAGCCATTGTTGATGGTGTCGTCCGGAACACATCGGACGTTAGAGAGTCCAACAAAGAAAGACAACTCGTCCGATAATGTGTGAGGGGTTCCGAGGGAAAATGGATCGCGTGAGGGAGACTCGATGTTTTATAATAGTACACTATAAATTACTCACTATTGATTTGCTCATTCTCCTCCCCCGAGATGTGGGACTCGTCAAGACATTTGCAGTAGATTTTGTTGTGATATTTGTCTGTTCATTGCTAATGATGCTTGAAGTTGTGTCTGATAACTCAGCTCCCTTTCTCGAGTAGGACACATTTTGTTTCTCCTTAATCTCGCCTGTACATAGCATCTCTAAAAAAGTATATATCTTTTAAATAAATATACAACGCTTTACGCAAACAAAAACATGAAATGACTAACATCACTTCAGTCGACCTTTCTAAGCATTGTACGTAGTACCCGAACCACAGTCGTTCGTGCTTTTTGTATCTGATGACACATAATATACTACAGATACAATTATATATTAAATGGCATATACAGATAACAAGTAAATACTGATTATATGATTGTTGAAAACCCTTCACATGACAAGGCTCCATGTCAAGCTATATACAAACATATCAGAAATCAGATGAGGTAATGTAATACGTAATAATAACAACAAATCAGATGAGGTAACGTAATACGTAATAATAACAAAAAATCAGATGAGGTAATGTAATACGTAATAATAACAACAAATCAGATGAGGTAATGTAATACGTAATAATAACAACAAATCAGATGAGGTAATGTAATACGTAATAATAACAACAAATCAGATGAGGTAATGTAATACGTAATAATAACAACAAATCAGATGAGGTAATGTAATACGTAATAATAACAACAAATCAGATGAGGTAATGTAATACGTAATAATAACAACAAATCAGATGAGGTAATGTAATACGTAATAATAACAACAAATCAGATGAGGTAATGTAATACGTAATAATAACAACAAATCAGATGAGGTAATGTAATACGTAATAATAACAACAAATCAGATGAGGTAATGTAATACGTAATAATAACAACAAATCAGATGAGGTAATGTAATACGTAATAATAACAACAAATCAGATGAGGTAATGTAATACGTAATAATAACAACAAATCAGATGAGGTAATGTAATACGTAATAATAACAACAAATCAGATGAGGTAATGTAATACGTAATAATAACAACAAATCAGATGAGGTAACGTAATACGTAATAATAACAACAAATCAGATGAGTTAATGTAATACGTAATAATAACAACAAATCAGATGAAGTAATGTAATACGTAATAATAACAACAAATCAGCCTTCAAATAAAGACAGGTAAACATCAGTATCAATAGACATTCATCACCCCCACAAATAGGCGGAATGGGTAAACATATTGTTAGAGTGGTATTTTGACGAAATGTCTCGATAACATTCCGACAGCTGACTTTACTGAATCGGCATATTGTGGCAAAATCAGTTGTTCTCAGCGGCGCAGATATTCCTGCATCAAATAAAGCGCGGGAATCGGTTGCAGTAAATAGAAAGTACCGTTCTGGATGGTCAATACTAAGAGTACGATTTTATCAAACGGAGTGATCATGATATTTCAATGTTTAAATGTAATAAATAGGAATATCGTAAGAATTTACTTTTACACTTTTGATGATATTATGTGGCCTTAATCTCCCAGATGGCTTTTGAGCATGGGTAAGCACCGAAAGTGGACAAAGTGTTAACATACCCGAACACCTTTCATGGACATTGGTATTGACAGTCAGCGTTTGTTTCACAGCCTGCGAAGAAAAAAACGTAGTAGATGATATCTTCTTTCGCTTCATCTCATCTCCCTTAGTCATGTTTTAAAAATCAAACTGTCTGTGTTTAAATAAATAATAAATAATTAGATAAAAAAAAAAAGGAAAAACACTGTAGTGTTGAAAAACATAATGGCTTAGAGCACCTTAATTGTTGAACAGCATTACCTGTCATTCACTGGTTCGGTTTGTTTTGTTTGTGCTTCACGTCCTACTACGGACAGCTATGGCCATTTAAGTTTATCAAGATTTCCGTGGTGGACTAATGTGGGAATCCCCCTGCATAAGTAGGGATTTGCTTTTGTGTCTGTACATAATGACAGGAAAAGATGGGTAATTGCACAGAACACTCATCTTACAGATTTCATACTACTCTGCTCACTACACGTCATACATATAAACCTATTACACAGCCTTTGCCTGACTGACATTCATCATTAAACCATACACCCATTTTGCCTGTACCCATTCGTACATACAAAATACTTATGGTCATGCGATGTGCTTTTAGAGAGAGTTGGGGATCGGTAAGAGAAGAACCAGGAGACAGGAATGGGGTTTGAGGTTTGATAGAGAGGAGTGGGGTTGGTAGTTAGTCAAATCTACTCGATCTTCCCAGGAAATGCTGTGCAGCCTTGGCTAGTTTCATATTACCATTTGGTGAGATGTTGGGGTCACCTTTACAAAGAATATCTACGTTTATGTCGCCTTCGTACCATTCTAATTCGGTAATGAGTGTTCTTCATAAATTAGAATACAAAGGACAAATAAGGAAAAAATGATAACAATCTTCTCAGTTCTCTTACTGACACAAAATCTCACCTAGCATACACCCAACCCCTTACCTGTAAATAGGAAAATACCAAATGTATGCAAGGAACAAAAATAAATAAAAAGCAAGCTATTAAATGTTGTCTTTTGGGGCGAAAAGACAGAGCAACGAGAATTAAAAGTTATTAACACTTATTGTTTCAGAATGAAAAACTAAATAACAAAACGACACAAATGTTGATTGAAATACCGTAGTAGTGGTCTGATCATAAACAATAAGGATTTGTCTGATACGTGGATGCTTAGCAGATTCAACCACCAAAACAAACTACACACAATACAATTATAATTCAATAGTATTTGCAATTATAAAACAGTAATAATAGCAAACAAAACATATAAAAATATATATTTTTTTACCAAATGTTTGACCCCATCACAATGAATGTTTTCAAAAAAAACCTGTCTGAAACTAAACATCACGTATTTGATATCAAATTAAAAGTACTCGCGTTTCAGCATGTGCTCATTTATTTCACAATTATACCATGTGTGTTCATAGGCATGTGTGTGAAAGTGACGATTTGTTTCTAAAATATCAGTTTGAAGTGCGCTCCGGGCGCGGGTCGCATATTTCCCGCATATTATAGAGGGCCGGAGTTCTGACGTTAATCGACGACAGATCGATATGAAAAAAGTCAGAATAATTCGGACTAGTGTGTTTAGTGCAGAACACTAGTAATCACAGATTTAAGACTGACCGAATTTGTTATCTAAACCAATATACATGCGAAATGTTGTTTTTTGCCGAAATGAAAAGCTCGAGTCGTCCACCAGGAATATACCAATATGCATAATACTTGTGCGGATTTTTATTCTACATACATGTGGGCTAACTACATGTAATACAAATATCAACCATGGCCGTTTACGCTATTTTACACCACTAGGCCTACATATCATATTTATGTACTAATGTCTCGAGTCTCGTATTGTTTTTGTGGAAACGTACAAAATGTTAGGCACTCCTTCAATCGGTATCGTCTGCACTAATAAGGTTTACGATACTGTAGAAGTAGAAGTAGGCTATTTATAGATTTTGGAATCTATAAACATGCTATTTTTAGAACGGTTTTCCTTTCTACTTTTTTACTTTCTTTTATTCACTTACAATTAACCTGTAGCATTCACAAAAATATATATAGAATTATGAATCATACATATATATACAAATTGAAACAGCAATTAATGTCTTGCTCGTCTGCGCACAGGTGCTCGGGTTCTGGAATATATGTGATATACTAACGCACCCACTAGATATCGCGTCTGCGTGGTGTAACGGTTCTATCAAATTGAATTTGATTATCATTTCATTCGAAATACATAAGTACAGACGAATGCAAACCACATTGTTAACTCATGAACTTAACGAATAATCTAGGTTTAACAACGTGATTTTTTATGTTCAAATACACTTACCTAGCTGTGCTGTTCGCTAAGGCGTGTGCTCAATGATATTCGTGGTGTATCGTCACTATACCCGCTGCAAACATGTAGTACACATATTGACAAGTACACGCATGCGTGCGTGTACAGAAATGTATATGTGTACTATAATTCACATAGTTGTAAACGCCAATGGTAAGCCTCAAGCTTTTTTTTATAGTGGAATATACAACGAGGGTTAAAAAACACGTTGAAATAATTAACGAATGTCGCTTGGTATAAATTTACTTTCAGGATGTACTCTTCTGAGGTTTCAATCACGTTCTAGTCTCGTTTTGATCTGGTGTAACGGGTTTTTGTAATATTGAACAAGTTTATTAGCAAACACGCATCTGAAAAATGTGTCAAAAAACTAGATGCCTGTTGTTTGTAGAACTGTTTTTATAAGAATTTAAAATCAAAGTGCCAAGAGCACTCAGGGATGCGGTGTATGAAGGATTCAAATAGTGGATTAAAGGAGGTGGTATATCAGTACAGAGTGGCAGTAAATAATAAAGAACATGTTGTTGAGTAAGGGTCATAATAGCCAATCCCTTAATCATAATTTTCAATAAAAATGTATATAACAAGCCGAGTATTTCTAAATCAATTGAAACTTGACTGATATTATGGTCCTTAATTAGTGTTTCAAATCGATGGAAATCCTTCAAGGAATGAAGCTGCTAGAGCGCAGACAATGATCTTTTTAAAAATAGTAACAGTCACCTTGACCAGACAACCCTGCAAACCAAAATTGTCCGGTAAGTTTATGGGAAAGTTTACGATTAAGTAATAAAAAAAATGTTACATCTGAAGGCTAAGTACATTGGGGTTACCAGTCTTGCCTTCTGTAAAAATGTTGCACCGTACTCCTCCTGAACCTTCTTCATCAGACCTGTCAGCAGATTGGTTCCAACCAAAAGTGGCACAGTAGAGTTGTAAGGGCTAGGTGGTACAACCAAGAGTAGACAATCCAGAAGTCTACTGTTCTCTTCCCCCAAACCTGTACCGCTAAAAGTAAGCTCGGTCTGCACAAACCCCTCGTATGGCAACATCTGTCCATCAGCACACTCAATCTTAAGGATGGTGTCCAAGGGCTTGATCTCCAAATGATTAAGATGTTGGAGATAGAACGCTTTGCTGACCGTTGATACAGTTGAGCCTGTGTCAAGTAACGCTTTAGCCGAAACTCCTTCGACAATAACAGGAACTTCTGTAGTGCTTCCAACCAGGTCTGCCGGTTTCCTATCGACTTGCTGGGCATGGTTAATACCTCTAAGACCTAACGTTTGCCCGCCGACGTAGGTCTGCTGTCGTTTAACGGATCCTGCTTTAAATGATCCAAA